TGTGGCATGTGGGCTTAGTTGCCCTGCAGCATATGGGATCTTAGTTCCCTGACCAGGGATCCAACCCGAGTCCCCTGTATTGGAAGGCAGATTTTTAACCCCTGGACCACCAGGGAAGTCACTCCTGTTAACTTTTCAATTCTGACAACCAGGTACTTCCCTGGGTCACCTGCATTTTCAGATTTTCACTATGAAAACCTGCTCACACTAAGTACTGCCTATTTACTTCCAAACATCATCTAGCTAATTACTACATGGAAATATGGAAATATCTGAGAGATACACAAGAGATTGCCTCAGAATAAATTGTTTCCAAAAGCATTTTATGGCTACCTGCGTCATAACTCCTGGGTCAGAATGGAGCCGTACTTAAGGTTCGCACGTTGCTCAACTATGAGTTGGGTAAGCAAACTCTCTAGGCTATTGCACTGTCCAGTTTTGCCACAACTGTTTTTCATTGTTGGGATCCACTGTTTTCTTTTTTATTAAAAGCATTAGCAGCCACTGATAATGAAAGCCAGGGCCCACCAGAAATAGACCAGAGGAAGTTTCCTGACTCCCCAGCATAGCAACAATTCATCAGCACAGAAGATAAATGAAGTGTGACTGCAGAGTGGTGCCAGTGATTGGGCTTCTCCGCACAACAGAACTCTTTACATACAAATGAGCACCATTCCCTCGGGCCAGTCCTCAGAGAACCTGTATGCTTATTGCAGTGATGTGATTGGTCTGGAAACACTTTTAGATTTCCCCTCCAGGGGGAAAATGTTCTTTTGAACATCCTTAATGGTGACAAAAGTTGTCCTTTGAGGGTGAATTTGATTTTTGGAAATGGTACAATGTATTCAGAGTGAACATCTGGTCTACCCAGAATCCTGTTCCCCAGCTAGTAGTTGGAGAGATGGCATTTCTTCTATTGTTCACTCTGTCTCTGAAGTCTCTTGAGGAGAAACAGTTTCAAAAGTGTCTTAGGAAATGGCCACATTTTCCCTGTGTTCCTATCTGAACCCGTATTTACCTGAGGTGACTATGGCTCCCCAACCTGTTCCAAGTCATGGAGGTGGGACTGCTTCATCACTAGTTCCAGGAGGGCAGACCTGAGGCTTGGGTGACTGAGTCAACTGAAACACCACTATGGCCCTCAGTTCTGGATTCACCACTGCTGGGAAGAGAATTTCTCACTCTGCTAAGATGTAAGGATGAAACTGCTGGCCTCCATCTTACTGCTCCGAGGGGAGAGAGCCTTGCTAAGAATGGAGCCAACACAAAAGAAAGGATATTTGAGAAATGAGTAGTGACACAAATGAATGTGTACACATGTACATATCTGTATAATGAGAGAGATGAAGTGTTGGTTCATGCTCCTGGATCCAGATGTACTTGGAGCAAACACTGTCCTGGGACTCGTTTGTGTCAATAAATTCCCCCTTTGGAGCCAGTGAACTCCCCTTTTGGCTAGTAGACTTGATTTGGGTTTCTGCCTTGCTGCATGCATGCATGCTAAGTCACTTCAGTTGTGTCCAACTCTTTGTGACCCCATGGACTGTAGCCTGCCAGGTTCCTCTGTCCATGGGATTCACAAGGCAAGAATAAGGGAGTGGGTTTTCATGACTTCCTCCAGGGGATCTTCCCCACTCAGGGATTGAACCTGTGTCTCCTGCTTTGCCTGTGGATTCTTTACAGCTGAAACATTTGGTAATCCTGACTAATTAGTGAGTGATTACTAACTAATCCCATAGAACAGAGCCAGGTCTAATGAAGGAATTAACTGATCAAGCAAGGAGTAAGGAAGGCACCAGGGACATTCAATGAATGTTCCTCAAGTAGAAATTTGGACTCAACTATTAGAACTAATACTTTCCTACTACCTGCTAAGTATTAGGACTAATAGTTGAAATAGTGAAATAAACCAGTCAGTTCAGGATCTCAATGTGCTTTCTGCTGACAAAAGAGACTGATTTTCTTCCTTCGCTCACATGAACTCAGAGGGCTATTCCCACAGAGGCGTTCGTGACAGAAATGTCTTTGGCAAAGACAGTGCTCTTGAGCATTGTCAAATTATGTTATTAGTTTCCCAAGGTGATTAATTTTTAAAAGTGCAACATTTATTTGAGATTATGAATTCTATCTGTAAACATAGAATTCTATGTCCCTCTGTGGTCATACCTCCTGTGGAACATGAAAACACAGGAATTTATGTGGAGGGGAGGAAAAACACAAAGGTTAGCACGTAATGCATAAATTTGTTGCAGATTTGGGAAAGACTCCTGACTGATGTGAGAGCTTACATTGGAGTGGAGGGGGCAATGAGTGGGCAGAAATCTAACTCTCTTGCCAGTCTTAAGTCCAGTTTCCTCAGCAGCATTTCTGTTGCTTCTATTTCTATTGTCTTGCCTCATGTCAGTTTTCTTGGTCTCTTCTCAGGAGGAAAAGTCCAGGTAAATCTAGAGTCATTTTGCTCTGAAATTAGTAAGGTGAGATTTCTTTGGCTGCAAAGTGTGTGATCCAGTCAGATAAAGAGTAAGTAAATTTACCGCAGGGGGTGTGGGCCAGCCGCTCTTCCTGTTTCCTCGTGGGCCTTCTAGTCTCACCTTCAACTTGTTTCTGTCTCTTTTTGCATCTGCTGTCTACACCGACCACCTTCTTCTCTTCCTACTGACCAGCTTCCTCTTTTGATGCATCATTCCTTCTTCCTCATCTCTTCAACCTGCACAGCACTCGTCAACCTGACTCTTCCAATTTCAGCTCCCATCTTGAACTGCCAAATTCCTTCCATGTTTCTTGGTTCACATTCCTGAGGGGGATGGACTGTCAGTCCAGTTTGCAGTTTTGAGCCAGGTTGCCCAGAATCACTGGCTAGCTATGGGCATCTGAGATCAGGATGGGGCAGTGGGGTGGGGGCATCCAAAGAGGACACCAAAGAGGTAGGAAACTGTAGGGGTGGGAGAGTGCAGCTCCACATCTGATGCTTGTGTCTTTCTCTGCAGGGCCTGCAGAAAGGCTTCAGTTCAGTTCAGTCACTCAATCATGTCCGACTCTTTGCGACCCCATGAATCTCAGCATGCCAGGCCTCCCTGTCCATGACCAACTCCTGGAGTCCACCCAAACCCATGTCCATCGAGTCGGTGATGCCATCCAACTATCTTATCCTCTGTTATCCCCTTCTCCTCCTGCCCTCAATCTTTCCCAGCATCAGGGTCTTTTCAAATNCAGAGAAGCCTGGTGGGCTACAGTCCATAGGGTCGCAACAAGTTGGACACGACTGAGCATGCATGCATACTGCATATATATATTTGTTTACATAGGCTCGTCTGGGAAACTTGCCATCATTTATGACCTTGCTTCTGTGGAAAAATGCATCGTTAGGATTGAATAACTGAATTACAAATGGGCTTATGAAACATGCTTGCTGCTAAAATTGAGAACTGCCTATAAATAGATAGCAATCCAGGACTTTCACTTGGGAACCAACAATCACTAGAGAATCAACAGCTCTCAGGAAATACTTCTGCTTTCCTTTCCCACAACTTACTTTGCACCAAGAGAGAATGTGCTACCAGGATTGGGTGAGGTTTAAAGAAATTTAACCATAAGCTAATAGAAGATTTTCAATTTTTCCAGTAAAGGGATTAAAGCTAATTCCAAATGTTGGAGCCAAAGTGATATAAAGTGGGAGCTACTCTTTTGGGAAAGAAGAGGCAGCTAGCCTTTCTGCTTCTCTCTAGCTTCCAGGAGAGTAAAGAGGAAACCTCCCCTGTCCTCCTTTATTCCTTTCTGTGCTCTCCACCAAGAGGCTGATTATGTTAGGCCAAGGCTGTGCTGCCTACTAAAGAATGTGCTAAGTAGCTCTTGGCCAAAAGAACTCAAATTTAAGTGTGATCAGAAACACCTGGTGAGGTGGTAACCATCCAGACTCTCTCCTGGAATTTGGTTAGCAGGTCTGGGCGTGGACCAGGACCTGTATTTTTAAAGGATGATTCTGGTACAGGTAGTTTGTATGTCATATTTGAGAAAAAGCCTGGACCTGGAAGAGAATCTGGGCTCTCTCTCCTGCTAAGATAGGTGTGTGTGTGAACACACGCTTGCCCAGCTTTAGTTCTGGGCTCCAGGAAAGCCTCTTGCCCAGGCAAAAGGTTTTGCTCCTACCTAGATCAGAAGAGCTCAATGTTTTTAATTTGGGGCCAGTGCCAAGTTAAGTAATAGCTCCCACTAGTTAGGCTGAAGGCCTTTGAGCCAGAACTTCCTCATGGTTCTCAACCTTATCGCACCCTGGAACTACCCTACCTGGGACCTCTAAAAAATACTGGTGGCTGGGTCCCACTTCCAGAGAGTCTGATTTCATTAATATGGGGATAGTCTGAATAGCTAGGATCTATTAAAACTCCTTGAATATTTTTAATGTGAACCAAAGTTGAGAACTACTATGGTAGGGAAAATAATTTTCATTTCCCTGGAGCTCTGGCTAAAAATAATCTTAATATTCACCCTTTAACATGGTGGACACCATAGAAGAAATCTTGAGTTTTGCATTTCTGCAAGGTAAAACAAAACAAAAATCAACAATATATAAGAGCTAATATCTTAAATAGTCTTTACCTGTAAACATAGTCAAGGGTAATAAAAATATTCTTAGTCTGGCTTCTTCTGTCATTTGACAAGAAAGAAAGGCATGGTGTGATATAACTGAGAACCCTCTAAAGTATTTCAGAGATAATGTCAACTACAACAATGCTCCTGATGTTAAACACTTTCTCTAAGGAAATTGAAAGGTGTTAAGCTTTTATGTTTTCTTTCTTGTTTTCCTGAGACCTAGCTGATCAGATTTATCATTGACATAGGTACAACATTTTAAGAATATCTATGGCTTGATTCTTTTCCTTTTCTAGAAATAGGTGAATGAATGTAACAGCGAACATATTGAACAAAAGAACAACCAAATTCTGATCATTAGAGGAACAATGACTTTATTAAATCTGTAATACTCTGATATGATCATACAAGTTAAATGACTAATTTTCTTTAAGCAGTTTTTTTCATAACAATCTGGGATATTTGGGTTTTGTGAAAATTAAACTATCTCTTGTCACAAGTCAGTGCAATTCTGTATTTAAGGATAATGACATTTGTCTCAGAGATAGGTTAATGGGACTATGTCTGAGTTAGGTTGGAGCCCTGCTGAAAAGTTAAGAAACTATAAGTAGACATGCAAAAATGAAGAGTTCTAAACTGGGGGTTCTTGGACAGGGCAATGAATGGATGTTGGGGAGGTTCACATATACTCTGAAACAGTCTGTGTAATTTTGAATGTAATTGTTTCATTCTATTTTCCTAGGATAAAGTCCATAGCTTCTATTAGATTCTCAAAGAATTTATAACCACAAACTGTTAGAACCCAGGGTTCTATATATTTAAGTAGAGAATCCTCCACTCCAGGCCCATTCAACACAGTGTGTTATTGAGAACAAGATATAGAAAATGAAAAATAATAATAGTCTACTTTGCTCTTCAACCCTGCTAGCCTCAAGGCCAGAATTGTAGATGTTTATGTGATATACCGACAGAGTTCTTAGCTGATACTGATTTGTGATAAATGAACATCAAAGGGAGTGGTAAAGATTCTGACTTTTGCCTATTTTTCTGAAACTCCCACACCGTGGTGGGAAGAGTGGGCAGTTTTGACCAGCCAGGAAAAGTTGATAGTGGCCAAGCCAGAGCCTCTGCTTCCAGTGTACGGAATGGGTATAGTTTTTCTAATTGCCGGGCAGAGACTGCATTTAATATTTTCTAGCTGATTCCTGTTCCTGCATCTAGTTAGATAGTGTCAGCTTGAGGTGGTCATCGTTAAAGACTGCAAATGCTGTACAGATGTACCTACTTTTCATCACTCCTAACATGGGAAGCTGTAGCTTTTCTGAAATGATAAAGAGTGATGACTTCTTGAAAACATTGCTTTAAATAGGAAGTGATTTAACTTTAAAATGTATTCACTTACAGCTATTAATTCTAATTTCTATTTGGGAATTTCTCCTAGGTGACATTTAGCCTCATTATGGAGAGGGGAGGGATGTGATTTTTTTTTGTTAAAACAATAGTTTAAATAAAATGTATCTAATATTATATAGTATTACTTCTGGAAGACATTTGAGTAGGGAAGGTATATAGCTAAACTTCTCTGGGGTGAGAAATATGATGTGTGAAGTTAATTTTTACTAATAAGGCTACTTCCAAAATACATTCTTAGTATACAGTTTCTTGGGGATTCAAGGAGTGACAATTAGCATTGTAGATATTTAGATATGAAGCTACAACTATCACATTTTTGTAAACATTAGTGTAATTATAATGGTTTCAGCTTTCATGAAAGTTAATGTGCATTTGCCTAAACAGGAAGAAAAGGAAATCTTATTGAAAATTGAGAAAACTGTTTTTATTAAATTTGACATTGGAGTAAATGCAAGATAATCCATCCCATGTTAAAAATAAGGAGCTATTTATAAGTGTTTAAAATTGGCACTGCTACCATTCTTAAATTTGAGTGACGAAGAACCATAAAAAATGGTTTGTATTTGCTTTTGGTTTTCTAGTCAGTTAATTGACCCAAGCCATTTTAAAAGAGAGATGGCAATCTTTTATCCCTTCTTTAGAGAAGAGTCCAGTAATTTAAACTGAAAAGTGACACTACGTTTGAGCTACTGGTGGTTTACGTTCTCGAACAACAGCAAAGGCAATTAATAATTCCTTTTCTCTAATGCAGGAGAAACAAATCAAATTTAAATATAAGTACTGTTAAATGCTAATGATTTTTCAAAATGTTTTAATCTTAGAAATGCCAGTAACTGTCCTCATTATAGACATATGACTGAGGTGGCAGACATAAAAATAAAGCAGTTCATCTATTTGCAAATTAAAAATGCACATGATTGATTGAGGACTCACAAAAACTGGATATTAATTCTTCTTGAGGAAAACAACTGAGGGTGCTATCCTGGGTGACATTTATACCCATATGGAAGAGTGGGCTTTAAAAAAAAAATTGTTACAATGACATTTTAAGCCACATTACAATTATATAGTATTTTCCATACCATTACCACTTCAAAATCTTTGATAGTGGGATGTCCAGATAAAATCCCCACTGAAGTTTTATGTTACACCTGGTGGAGTGTAAATGATCTTGCAGCTGACAAAGCTTAAGAAGAAACTCTGACCCCTGGGTATTTTTAAAAATAATCCATATTGTTTATTTGATCCCAATTATTTTTTAATTGCTATCATGCTACTTTCCCTAGTCCTGGCTGGTGTTCTTTTTGGAGTTGCTACACTGGTCCTTTCTTTGAAACAACATATGTAATCCAGCAAGGCACATGTCAACCAGGCTTCAGGTTGAAGCCAGGCGTGGGAAATATTTTCCAAACAATCCTGTCGTCATCCTTTCGGCCTGAGGTGGAACTATTGAGGAAACTGCATTGAGGGGGACACTGGGTCCTATAAGGGTCCTACTACTCTTGAGATACTGTGCATGGGATAAGTGAGCAGAATTACTACCGCCTTCACGAAGCATCTAGAAGTGCTAAAGCCTCTGATGACCAAACCTCTCCGTGAGCTTCCTCATGGGAGAGTCCGGCTTCTGCCCACCTCGGGGGCAGCTGGGACCTGGTCTTGCTAGTGATAGCCACAGAGGGCCGTGAGGCTCAGCTGGTCATCACTGGGTGAAGAGGCGTCAGGATCACTGTAGATCTGCGTCAGGGCTAAACTCAGGATCTCTTTCTTTTCTTTGTAAAACCGTAGTTCTTGCCCTGCTTTCCTGGCTTCCTCCAGCTCCCTCAGGGCCATTCGCAGCTCTTGGGAGAGAATTCCCGGCGACTCCCGCTCCTTCATGATCCAGTCTAGGGCCATGTGGCTGCGCATCTTTTCATCCAGGGAGTACTGGGAATAGTAGGAGATGACTTCCTGGGAACCAAGAGATAAGGTCCAGAGCATCAGTAAAGAGCAACTGAAGTACCTGGGCTATGGCCTTCTGACACTTCATTTCCTAGGCCTCCACCCCCACCCCAGCACACAAACACCTGTGGGTATTCTACCAACAACCAAACCTCTCTGATCTTCATGAACTGAAGCCCAACCCCAGGACATACCTCTTAAAGGAGAGAAATGGCTTAAGTTGGTACCCAAAGTAAAGGTCACTCCGGGTTGAATCAAAACCCGCCACCAGGAATGACCTAATATTGTCCACAGAACAGAGCTCTAACCTCACTGGAAAATATCTGTTCCTTTGAAACTGCATTCTTACAACAATTAGTATGAGCTTTACCTCATTTATTTATAACCCTTCTGCCCAACGTTAGCTCCTTTGGCAAGATAGAGGGAAACAGCTATACAGAAGGGTCTGGGCAGAACTGGGTTTGGTCACACCCATTGCAGAAAACAGGAAGCTTTCAATCAGGAAAGACTTCGATACCAGGAGAGTCAACTTCCTAACTGCTGTGTTGTTAGCATAAGGAAGATGACAGACTAAATTGTTCACAGTAACTATGGGAAGGACTTAAAAAATTATGGACTATAGGCATTATCATCATTGATACCGTAACGGTAACTTTGTGTGCATTGTCTCTTACTTTCTGCAGACAATGCAAAATTAGTCACTATCTTCCAATTCTATGTTTAAAATTTGCCAGTACATTGTAATGTCATATAAAAGTTTGATGAACACTCTTTAAGAAGACCTTGTGGAGTGGATGCATTGCTTATTTTTATTTTCAAGAACATATGGTATTTATTTATGACCTTAACAAATTAAAAACAATCACGGAAAAGTGTTTGTAACCAACTCGGCATGTTTCAAAGGCTTTTTATGAAATCAAAGGAAAAGAAAAAAAAATAGCCAAAGCCATTGTCAGCTACTCATTTCTTTTCCATCTTTGACATTTTGAAAGCCAGGCTTTCTAGGCAAAGAACAACTAAAAACTCCTGGGGCAGTAGTGCATGGAAAACTTTTACATCCGCCCTCATCTTGCTAACTAGTAGAGGCTTTGCTCCTTATACAACTTCCTGATAGCAAATTCTCAAAAATAACTACTATCCTCGAGTCTAGTGGGATAAAGGCAGAATAAATCTTAAATGATAGTAGAGTGAGAACCATTAAGTGCATGGGAGGGGGTTTGCCTTCTCCAGCAAAAGAGGGGGCAGGGTGCTTTTCATAGGTAGCTGAGAAATAGTGAGACTCTGTCTCTGAAAAATAAAGAAGAAACTTCCAAATCCCAGAACTGAACCGATTGAAAAACAAAAAATTGAAGTGATGGAAATACCATGTCTCCCACCTTGATAATCAGTTCTGTTGCCCACCAGGAACATTTAGTGGGGGTGAGAAAAGTTCTGTTCTCGGTGAAGAGAGGAGGTTTGGAGGTGGTGCAGACTCACATTTCTTCCTGCTTTGAAGAGTGGGAGGGGGCACACTGCATGGAGTAGATGCCATATCTGGCTTAGGCACTAAGTGATCCCTCCATTCTAGCGTTCAGTACAGGTATCTAAGTCAGTCCTATGGCCAGCCAACATTCTTCTTAGTGTGTGTATGTGGTCAGGCCCTGACGCAACTGGACTGATATATCTAGATCTAAATCTAGATAGATATATCAGAGAGAGATATACCAGATAGATGTATCAGATATATATATATATGTGTGTGTGTACACATATATGTTAGTATACCTATATATGTTGAACATATAGCTATGTGCATATAAATGCACATGAAGTTATATATACTTCTATATGTTAGTATATACATATATATATATATATATATGTTAGTAGATATATAATTCCCTGGTGGCTCAGACAGTGAAATATCTGTCTGCAATGAGGGAGATCTGGGTTTGATCCCTGGGTTGGGAGGATCCCCTGGAGGAGGGCATGGCAACCCACTCCAGTATNCATGAAGATCCCCTGGAGAAGGAAATGGCAGCCCATTCAAGTATGCTTGCCTGGGAAACCCCATGGACAGAGGAGCCTGGCGGGCTAGAGTCCGGAGGGTCTCAAAGAGTTGGATGCAATGAAGAGACTAAGCGCAACACACATATATAAATATCCTCTGCTCTTAATAAATAAGGTACTAACCAGAGAAAAATTCAAATAAAGGAACCTCGGTGGAAGATGATTAGCCATCTGCTCAGTCCATACAACACAGACCTGCTTTTTACTGGAAAAATCTCACCTGTCGGGAACATTTTGTTTCACGAAGGGCTTTGAGGCTTCCGTTCCAGTGCAATAGTTGGAAAATGGTCATAAGCTCCTATAAAACCCAAATGCTTTTCATTAGTCTCAAAGTAGAAATGTGAAAGAAAGTGCCTCAGTGATTGCTGAAGAGGTCATAACTCTAATCCCCAACTATATCGGGAAAATGGAATATACAATACTGTCAGAACACTTTGAGACTTTTCAAATACCACAGTCGTAAGCTTCCGGAGCGTTTTTCCTTCCCTCCTCTGTTTTATCTATATTTGGCATGAACTATTAAATAATGGACAAATACCTCTCAACAGTGTAAACACATATGCTGTAACAATTTTATACCCAGGAAGTTATATAAATATACCAGCACATCTTCAAATAATGTGTAGGCAAGGCTATTCATTGCATCATTTTAGAAAAATTGTCTGAGACTGGCAATATCTTAAATGTTCATTTTTAAAGGAATGGTTAAATGAAATGTTTACAAAAAGGAATGGTTAAATCCTGAAGTGTAGAAGAATATAGCACCCCCAAATATGCAACTTTGGTGTGTTGATTATTTTGAGCTGTAACTACTTAAAAAACCACAAACAGAGTAAGAGGCTTTCTCTGAACTCCCCTTATCTCCCAAACGACAGATCCTCCAAAAGGATTTTAATTGCTATAAAACCCTTCTCCAGGAGTTTCATCAACCAGGGAATACTGACGCTTATCCCAGAAGTAGAAACTGAAGCCCACTCCACGCTCCGCCAAACTTTGTCACTATCATATCTCCTGTCTATTCTTCTAAGGATCAATTCGCCTTTCTTAAAGATTATCTCCTCTCTCCTAAGGGGCTCCCCTGGTGGCTCAGCAGTAAAGAGTCTGCCTGCCAATGCAGGAGACCTAAGAGACACGGGTTCGACCCCCGGGTCGTGAAGATCCCCTGGAGAAGGAAATGGCAGCCCATTCAAGTATGCTTGCCTGGGAAACCCCATGGACAGAGGAGCCCGGTGGAGCCTGGCGGGCTATAGTCCGTGGGTTGCAAAGATTCAGACATGACTGACTGGCTGAGCAGGCACATGTGCGCTTTTCTGAGAGGCCCACACCCCGTCTTGCCTTCCGTTTAAGATGGTATTCAATCCTGAATTCTAAGCCACCTGTGGAGTTCCTCATTTTTCCCTAAGTATCTCTCACACATACATGAGGTGTGCTTCTGTTTTTCTCTTCTTAATCTTCCTTTCATTACAGGAGTCTCAGCTAAGAATTCAGAAGGATAAAAGAAAATGATCCTTCCTCCTTTACAACATGGTCATCCTACCAAATACAATGCAATCACAAAGGGTGAGAAGGCTCTCTCGTTCTAACATAAAGAGTCTCTGTGAGGTGTTAAAAGCAAGGTGTCCAACATGTAAACTGTGTGCTAGTACTTGAGTAACAATTAGAAGATGCCTATAAATATTTGCTTATAAATGCCTAGAAGAGTTCTGACAAGATACAAAAGAATCTGGGAACATGAGTCGCCTCGGGGGGGAAAATTGCGGGGGGCTTTTTTTTTGCCCTTCTTTGTACCTTTTGAGCTTTGAACCATGTGACAATATGCCGTATGAAAATAATTTAAATTTTAAAAAATTTAGGCCAAAAAGTAAATATAGAGCATACAATGGACAAACTACAGAAACTGTAGAATACCACTGAGTTTATAAATTCAGTCAAGAAAATGCCTTAAAATATGACCATTAAGGATGAAGTGACGTTAAACCCACCCACGGTTTTCACATTCAACGGCCAGGGTTGAGCACAGCGTTTAGCCTTTCTATCAACAGCATCCTTTCCCTGCCTGATGCCGAGTGCAAGCTAACATGTGTTCAACATACTGAAGATTTCATTTTTCCAATCTGATTAGGATTAGCGGTCTTCCAGACGGCAATGGCACTCCACTCCAGTACTCTTGCCTGGAAAACCCCATAGGCAGAGGAGCCTGGTAGGCTGTGGTCCATGGGGTCGCGAAGAGTCAGACATGACTGAGCAACTTGACTTTCACTTTTCACTCTCATGCATTGGAAAAGGAAATGGCAACCCACTCCAGTGTTCTTGCCTGGAGAATCCCAGGGATGGGGGAGCCTGGTGGGCTGCCGGCTATGGGGTCGCACAGAGTCGGACACGACTGAAGTGACTTAACAGTAACAGTAACAGTAACACTGAAGTTACCTGCATTTTTTTTTCTTTCTTTTTTGATCAGAGAAACATCTACAGTGGATTAGTGGTAGTACAAACCACTGTTCTTGCCTGGAGAATCCCAGGGATGGGGGAGCCTGGTGGGCTGCCGGCTATGGGGTCGCACAGAGTCGGACACGACTGAAGTGACTTAACAGTAACAGTAACAGTAACACTGAAGTTACCTGCATTTTTTTTTCTTTCTTTTTTGATCAGAGAAACATCTACAGTGGATTAGTGGTAGTACAAACCACAGCCACATACCTATTGGAAAATAACAATACAGTTAAGGAACTTCCTGGTCATGAGACAAGTTATGAAAGCTTAACATTTGAACAGATGTCTTATCCCCATTCAAAAACAAAGTGGACTTTTGTCTTTATGTCTGCTTGCTCTGGAAAATGTTTTCACTATGAAATCTGGAGACATAAGCTCAGTTTGAGATTACAGTTACCTTAAAATTATGAGGTAAAATTTAAAGAGATAAGATCATCAGAACACATATTCTCATGTCTAAATGTCTCATGTCTGAATAGCACTATTCTCACGTTTAAATTGCCATTAGAATGTAATGCTTTTCTTCTTTTTGGTTTGGGATTTTGTGTATGTATTACTACACAGTGAGCATCGCAAGAACACACGCCGTTAGTTGCTCAGTTGTGTCTCACTCTTTGCGACCCTATGGACCGTAGCCCGCCAGGTCCCTCTGTCCGTGGAATTCTCCAGGCAAGAACACAGGAGTGGGTTGCCATTCCCTTCTCCAGGGGATGTTCCCAACGCAGGGATCAAACCTGGGTCTCCCACACTGCAGGCAGATTCTGTCTGAGACACCAAGGAAGCCCAAGAACAGACAGAGACCTTGGGAAAAGCAAAACCATGTGTCTCCATTAAAACATGACATGGACAGCAGCTGAGCCACACCCTGACCCCATGTCTGCCCAGGGTCCTCAGTCCAGTGCCAGGGGAACTCACCCTTCTTATGATTCCTCTCCACTTCTCTCTGCCCCATCCAGATTTCCACTCTGTCACATCACTATGCTACGTTGCAAAAGAGAGAGTCTTTTGTTCCATAACGAAATCCATAATCTAATCTGGCTCCCAACACTATGCCTCTTATCAAGATAACCCCAGTGGCTGAGGATCCGTTGCTATCCCCTCAGGCCTGCTCACTGAATGCTTTGTGTACATAAAAAATGGCTAGGAATGATCTTTAGGCTCTGATATGAAGTACTCTCCATGGTGTTACAGGAGGGACAATATTGACAAATGTTTTATGATGTTTTATTGTAAGACTCAAATTATGTATTTTATTGTATATGTCCATTTCCTTAAAGAAGAAAATGAATGCCACTCCACTCCTTTCCTTTTCCTGCAATCTTCATGTAATGTCGACAACCCAGAAAGATGTACTGAATTTATTCTGTGGCTTCAGTAACCCTCCTGGCATCGTCCTTGCATCCATGTGGCCCAGTTTGAGAAACAACTGGCATCATCCTTGCATCCATGTGGCCCAGTTTGAGAAACAACCTATTGCTAACAGAGCTCTTAATTCCATCCTCTGATAACTGTTGCCTTCATAATATATTTTTCCTCCAATGTCCCTAAGCTTTCGTTCCTACCTATGAGCCAAGCCCCTGATCCAGATAAATTTCTGTTGCATCACTCAGCAACCCTCCTNTGAACTGACCAAGTTCACTATCTTCAGATCTTCCTGAAGCTGTGTGAACCCTGGCTCAACCCCAGGACATCTCTGCACGCTTCTCATTGATTGCATGGGAAATCCTTGCATTATGAGACTGGTAAGAAGGTGGCTGTGGGCTTCCGTGAGGACTCGGTTCCTAGTTTCCTATGATTCCTCACTGCCTGGTCTTCTTCTCAGCCTTGTTTTCCTACTTGTTGAAGGCCTATCGTTTTGAATGAAGTCTCTTTGGTGGGCTATCTGTCCTGCTTCTTCCTCACTGAAGTCTTTGAGCTGTGTTTGTCACGTGGGCTGATCTAGAAGCCTGGTTCCTCTGCATGGGCTGACAAATAAACAAGAAGCTGTTCTAGAGGTGGGGTTGAGACTGGGGCCAGGTGAGTTGTACAAGTTCAGGGTCTTTTATTTAAAATCCTATCTTTATTTTTCGTTTGTCATAGATTTTTGCACATTTATGTTGAGTTTTAAATGTATTGCATTATAATATTATTTGCCTTGGTTACTGAATTTTTTGATGCTCCTTTAAATTTTGTATCCCAGTTGAATGCTTTACTCTTCTTACCCTAGTCTGGGCTCTTCTGGGGATCTTGTCTCAGGGACAAGGGCAGTTTCATGAGCTTATGATCTGTATAGTCACACAGGCTTTGGGCTTGGTTTAGCAAAGGTCTTAAACTTTCGTTTTGCACCAGGCCCCATAAAATGTGTAGCCAGTTCCCTTTACCAAGTATTAGTTGCTAAGTTGCGTCTGACTCTTTGTGACCCCATAGACTGTAGCCCACCAGGCTACAGTATTCTAGCCATGGAATTCTCCAGGCTAGAATACTGGAGTGGGAAGCTATTTCCTTCTCCAGGGGATCTTCCCGACCCAGAGATGGAACCTGGGTCTCCTGCACTGCCGGCAGATTCTTTACTGTCTGAGCCACAGGAAGGCCCATAAGTAAATTAGAAATCAAATGGTGACTCGAGTCCTGTGTTTTCTTTCTCTTCAGGAACATTGCAGTTGTAGCTTTCATTCTACAGCTTTCCTGGTTCATGTTGTCATTAATTAAATCTAAGCCAACAACAACTGGGGTCCGTCCTCACAGAGCTTCTTGGTGTTGCCTCCTACGAGAAACAATGTCTGGCCTCCCAGCTACTTCACAGGGAGAGAATGAACACTGCTTCTCCCTGGAACTCTGTCTGGGAGACTGGCTTGGTTCTGTGATTCATCAGAAATAAGAAAAACAAACAGTGTAAATGGAGAACTTGAAAAACAGGTGGGCACCATCTCCCCACCCAAGAGAATGGATTTAAGAGGAAATTTGTTTATGGGATGAGGTTTTAAAAGGCGACCTGGAGAACTTAGCAAAGATGTAAATAAACAGCTCGTCTTTGGATTGCATTAGGCTTCAGAATAAATATATTAACCAGCTTCAGTCAAAGTCTGCCTTGAATCTGACCTTGACAAGACCCAGTGGCTAGAGCTGCCGCCATCCCACCCCCGCAAACATGAGGCAGTTTTCTCTGCAGAGAGAGGCGAGGCTACCTTAAACAGGCACCCCAGCCTCCCGCCCACGAAGTGAAGGTAAGCAGAAGCCTATCAGGTTTCTTCTGAGCTCTGCCTCTTTGACGGCCCCCCTGGAAAGCCCGAGGGCAGTCAGGAGACACCAGTCTCGTTTTCTAGACTGTATAGTCAACCGTAGCTAGATACAAACACACATCTATTACCCCCCAGGGGTACTGAATTGCTGTGTTGACTGCAAACAGCCCAGGCCTGTGGTCAGTTCCCATTATGCGCAGAAACAAGTTGATGCCTTTAACCCAGGCCACGGAGGAATGTGCAGGAACCAGCAGGCGACCTTGGGCTGGAGGAAGGAAGAGGGATGTGCTGCATGGCCCTCCCTGTGGGTTGCCAGCATCCCTACTGGGAGGAGGGAGTTTGGATTTTTCCTGCCCTCATGTCTTCCTCTACCTCTGTCTCTCATCCAGCACCCAGCCTCCTTTATGAGAATTTATGAAGCATATCCACAATATGAGTCAAATTATTATTTCACATACTTAAATACCTTACTACGCAGACCACACAGAAAACATGCAACCCATAGTAAGGCAATTTTAAAAAACAGTATCATTAAAAGGTGGTTGAGTACAACCTTTCACAGTACTTAGACAGAATTTTAAAAAAAAAAATTTTTTTTTTTTTTTTGCCTTCCCTATATTTGGCAGACTAACCCACTGCATTAAAAAAAAATCATTCTTGGTTTTTCTGAAAACAGTTACTAAATCCTATACAAGCTACCATGTTTTTGGCCGGGCAACATTCATTCTGTAAGAAAAAAAATAAAAGTACAATACTCTTCTATTAGGGAGAGAGGAGAAATTAAAATAAATGATTTTCTTAAATGCTTTATAAATGTCACATTGTATAAGTCCCACAAAAAGTCTATACAATGGACATCATGATTCTTATTTTGTAGATGAGAAAAACTGAGTCTCAGAATGGCTGAGTTCACAGGTGACAAGTGGTAGAACAGGCTTGGCACTTGGATCTGTATGGTTTTTTAGTTTGTGTTCCTTCTCTTGTGTCATGCGCCTCCCTTTTGTTTCCTGTTTGACATTAGATTGTTATGGGATATAAAAAAGGACTCTTGCTAGTTTCACTCTTGTATTCTATAGCAGGGCTTCCCTCATAGCTCAGTCGGCAAAGAATCTGCCTGCAATGCAGGAGACCCAGGGCCCTGAAACATTTTTTGCTGGAAAGCTACCTTATCCTCATCTGAAGACTTTAGGTTAGATAAAGCTGTCAAGGGAATCCATCTGGTAACCTCTGGCATTTCAAGTAAAGCAGTCCTTCTTCAGAAATATATATATATACCATCAATTGTCATTTTTTACTGAGCATTTACCATATGCCCGGAATTGTTCTGAACTCTCTACGCAGTCTCGTTTAATCTTCACAATGGCACAGTGAGGTAGCACTGCTATTATTGACACTCTTATTCTTCCTGATTTATGTACAAATGAGGAAACAGATTTAGAGGTGAGTAGCTGAACCCACTCCCCAGCCAGGGCTGAGAACTACCGGCTGCTGCAAGCGGCTGTCTACACCAGAAGGTGAGCTTCAAGGTCTTTTGCAAACCAAGACAAGCAACATCAAATGTCACTGAGACCACAACTACTTAAGGAGAAATCTGGATGACTGAGATCTTCCTAGGAAAGGATGAAAAAAGAACATTTTTGCTTCAATCAAACAAGAGAATGGTGAGTAAAATTAATGAGTTTTAAAATGGGCAGGATGGACATATCCACCTGAGAAGTGGCTGTGGCCTTGCAGTTAGGAAAAGAGTTTGAAAAGTACCAAAGATGGTATTTGAAAGCTGGCTTTAGGGTTCAGCCATACCACCACTGTAAATTATACCACAATGAACATTTTTGTCCATAAAACTTTATATTCTGATTGCTTCTTGGAATCTAACCTAAAATAATAGAAATCTTGGAGGTAAAGTCTCCTTATTATAACACTGCATATTGATTCTTAGTAGCATTGATTTATGTGGGTGATCAACTGTATTCAAATTTAATTTTTTAGAAAGCATACTTTTCATTCTCAACCACTATTGAATTTTTGTCCGTTGAGCCCAATATAGGATAATAGTCAAAATGTGAACTCAGGAATCAGACTGCCTGGGTCTGAACCCAGGCTGCATTTACTAAGCTGTATGACATACTTCCTTCAATGATGACATGGGTATAATAAATACTTATACGTTTTTGTGAAGGTTAAATTATGGTAAGACTTATTAAATGCTTAACACAGTGCCAGAGAAGGTAAGCATCCAGTGAGTGTAAGCTATTCTTCTTCTTACTGCTAGTATAATTAGTTTACAAATAATAGGTAATAGAGTTCCTTAGCTCTGTTATTGCTTGTCAGCAGTGGAATGAAAACAGCTACAGCTTGCTAAATTTTTTTATTTACTTAATGATAGGAGATGGCAGATCTTGTTTACAAAAATACCATAATGGAGGGGAAAATTGTTTAATATACATTGCAATCACCTTCATCTATAACTTCTGAAAATTAAGAACCAAATAGTCATGACCAATATTTCAAGCTGTTTGATTTGATTTAAAGGGGAGCTTTATACTGAAAAGCTGGTAAAGTGTTGATAGGGTCATAAGATGGTCATGTTCCCTACCTGTTTCTTAGCTTAAGTCTTCTACTTTCCTTGAAGAAGCAAAGATTGTGCCTTGTTGACTTGTTTGTCTTAGCCTACTGCAGTGCTGCCAGAAGAGAGTTACAGGGCTGGATTCTAAGAGGGTTAAATTAAATGACTGAAATAAACAAAGAGCTGTTTGTGATAAGACTGGCATTCCCCCAGGCTTCTAGGGGCTGTGTAGCAAAATAAACGTGTGGCAGTTACCTGAAACTCTAGCATGGTCTTCCCCATGTTTGACTCCAACATGTAGTGATAGGCTCCAATGCTGGTGCTCGGGTCATCTGCATCATCCAAAGTGCCCTTGGGAAGGAAGCAGAAAAGCAAAGTATCACGGATTTTTCCTCTTCTTTGGGGGTCAAGAATGAATCCTGTGGCCCCATGGTGAAACTCCTGTGGTTCTAACCCTACAGGTGTGCACTTTTTACAACCATTTCCAGCTGATTTGTGATAAAAGCCTTAATCTTACCATCTCTCAGAGTGAAGAGGATTTTTGAAGTCAATTTGAATCTAGCTTTTCGTTAAAATGTTAACTGATTAAATACTCAAAAAGAATAATTATATTAAAGCAGAAATTCCCACATCTCTATAGAGTTTTTGTTGGTAGTGGCATTAATGCCATTCTAATGAGTGGTTGCCCTTTGAGGCTGTTTTCATCCATTATTGAAATCTTGAAATGCTGACTTGCTTCATAAGATTCTAGTGATCAGCAAGCAAATTATGTAACTAACAGGGAAAAAATTCTCCAGTTGTATGGACCATTCATATTTTACCACCATGATTCTTTTTTTAAAAAATTTATTTATTTTTTAATTTGAAAATTCAAGAGAGAGGGGACACATGTACACCTATGGCTGATTCATGTTGATGTTTGACCACCATGATTTTCAGTGGGAGCTTTTCATAATAGGCTGGTGTTCAACCTGGAGACATGGATTTTGGTTTATATTTTTTCAATTCTGGACGACTTAATCTTTAACAAACAAGGTGGGTGGGTGATGGGAAAAAATGAAATTCCGCTTCAATATTTGGTTATGGGGAGTGTCAATAAAAAAGCTAACATGAGGTCTAGAATGGCATTGGGACCTGCCCTTCCATATCCCACGGCCTTGGATTCCTGGGAAGGTGGGCAATGGCTTTGTGAGACTGAACAAACAACAGCCAGCATCAGATAGCCGCAAATTTATAGCTTTTGAATGCAATAACATTAACACACTACTGCCGAAATATTTATGTTGGCTTTTTAAATATCCCAGAGGAAATCCATCCAGAAGCCTATGAACCATATATATTCTCCTTCCTTAGAAATTTCCATGAAAAAAATGATAAATTACATTTACACTGAGGACCCCTCCCTGCTCCTGAGTAAATTCCACACATATAAATCAGGCATCATTTCCCTAACTTCTCTTCCTCGAAGGCACTTGAAATTTACAGGGCAGAAAAATAAAGGCTTCCTTTCATCCTCAGAGCAGAGACAGACCAGAGCTCCCTGAAGTCTCTCTGCCAGGACAACCACTCTCAGTCCCTGCCTCTCTCCCCTCATCGCTTCTCTGTGTGATAAGAGCATTTATGAGGGGGGAAGGCAGCAAAAAAAGTCACAGCTGGTGTGATAATGTCACCTTCCTTATCGGTAGCTTCTCCAGAATAACAGAACCTTGACTTGCATAGTCAGATTAAGGGAATCAGGGAAGGAAACTCTCAGATAGGGTTGATCCATGCTAAAGGCGAAGCAGGAGGTAGCTTATCTCTTTGGTAATGCCTTTTGGTTTCTGCACTTTAAGGACACATAGGGAGATGCCTGCCCCAGTTGAGACCCAAGGCTTCCTCCATGGTGAAAATGGTTTATAGTTTGGAGGTACAAGGATCAGAAGCACCAAATAATTCATGGGGCAAATAATCTACTCCTAGATTGGCGAGAAAATGTCCTGTCTAAATTTCTAAGACATAGTTTGGCTCTCAAAGCACTTTGCGTTTAATTACATCTATTACAGAAATTTCCAGAGCTCTTGGAATAAAGTAATTAATATTAAGTGTGATAACTCTAACATCTAACAGATATTAGGCATACAGTTTTTCTCATAGCTAAGCAGTTAGTGGGCTTGCCTTGTGGCTCAGCCGGGAAAGAATCTACCTGCGATGTGGGAAACCTGGGTTCGATCCCTGGGTTGGGAAGATCCCCAGGAGAAGGGAAAGGCTACCCATTTCAGTATTCTGGCCTGGAGAATTCCATGGACTGTAGAGTCCATGGGGTCGCCAAGAGTCAGACACAGCTGAGCGACTTTCACTTCACTTCACTTCAAGCAGTTAGTATTTCCCTAAAAGCACAGAGTGCAGGACCTCATGCTGGCTGGGGAATTGGCACTTTTAACAAGCGCTTCAGATAATTTTTATGACTAGTCCAGTTTGGGAAAACCGGAACTTCTTTATGTCTAGGTTAAAGCGGTATTCAACTGCATGCATCCTCAGGCCCTAAAAGAATCAGCGCTCCTCAAACAGCAAACACCCAAATAAACAAATCAAGATGGATAATTCGATCCACTTTGATAGACAGCTCGATTAATTGTGATCCAGGAAGGCTAAAGAATCTTGCTGAGACATGGATAGGAAGCCAGCCCCAGTATCATGATTTTCAGTCTAAGTGCTCTTTTTGCTGAAAATTAATGATTTAATGGGTTAAAAATAAACCTGCACCAGGTCCTAAAGATCTTGTCCGCATTAGCATCTCCCAAGATTCAAAGGCCTCAGTACTCTGTTCAGCCAGCTCCCTGCTTCCCTGGCGGGTACTCACGCTGGTGGAGGCAACTGCTTCTTGCACACTCTCCATAATGAATTCCTTGGTGATCCGGCGAGAGGGCAGCTCGTTGAAGAGGGAGTTGATTAGGGCTACTTTAGCTGCATCCCGTCTGGCCTCAGCTCTACTTAAGCAGCACTTAAGAAGGGAAGGAGGAAAGGAGTCATTCAAGAATCCGGCATCTCATCATTGCGCCCCGACCCAATGGGTCTCTGCACATTTATTTCTATTTATACATGTACTGTCTGCATGGATTCTTCCATAGCCATTGCTAATCCCCTTGATGATCATGCAGACGTTCTTGCAGCCCCAGAGCCCATGCAAACGTCTCGCTTAGTCTTCACATGTTTTTCTCTTATTTCACAGTCACTGAATGCCTATATATGAGAGGCTTTCACACTCTGTCAATAAATAATAACAAAAGTAATCATGGCAACTGTTCCGTGCTCAGTGATTGCATTCATTACCAGGGCCCTCCTCAAATCTTTCTTTCAGAGAAAAGAAAGTAAGGAACGAAGGAAAATGGGAGACATGTTTAACACAATAATTAAAAACATATATTCTGGAGTCAGACTCCTTGGGTTCCGAATCCAACTCTGGAACTCAGTAGCTGAAAAACCAGGCACAAACTAGTCTTTCTGTGCCTCAATTTCCTCCTCTCTAAATGGGAATAATAGTGGTCCCCGTGTCGTAGGGTTGAGGATAGGCTCAACTCATTAAGATAGAGAAAACACTGAGAATACCCAGCACGTGGTAGCACTCTGTACCTCAGCGTGTTAGGTGAGTATCTCAGGCTTATGTTTTTTAACCTTCAGGTTAGGACCAAGTGACTGCTGTGAAAGCCTTTCAGGTAGCTTCAGGCAGCAAAGCCCTTCAAGCTTTAGACCTCTCTCAAGGTTTAGACCACCTGCATTAAACCAGGGGTGTGGAGACTGGGAGAGGTGCCTTTGCAATTATGGATTTGGCTGGAAATTTACAGGATACTGAATTCTGAGTCAGCAGTCTTTCACTGAAGCTTGGGTACCACCTCTTCCAGGAAACTTTCCCTGACCACTCCCACCTGCAGGCTAGGAGGAGCCGCATCCATAAGAGGCACACACCACACTGAAGGGCTATTGTCCACCAGCGCTCTGCCACCCAAGCCCAGGCTGTGAGCAACCTAAGGACGGGGCCTTTGACTTAAGCAACTCTCTGTCTTTGCACCTGCGACATAGTTTGTTGAATGGATAATTGAATATAGCCTAGGAAATTGAAAGCACCCATCACTTAAGCGCCTGACAAAGTATTTAAGAAATCCTCTTAAAGAAGAGAATTTAAGATATACACTTATTCATTTTAAAAAGTCCCATTTCAACATACCCTTTATTGTATTCATAATCCAGTGATAGAAAAATATACTAATATGTGAATTGCAGAGGGGAAAATTGGCCTTTTAGTTCAGGCGCTTTGAGAGTACTAGTTTTGCCCGAGTGTAGGGTGTGTTTATTATTCTTTGGAAAATCAGTTCCCCGTTAAAAAGCAAACAAAGTTTTTGCAATATTACCTGACATCTGTAAAATCAGCTCATTTTAACAAGAATTTGCTGTATGAAACATATAATAATGCCATTGGGGTTTTAGAATTTAGAGAATTAGATTCAGATCTGGGCACTCTTATGAAACTTTATATAACTTTCTATCTAAATAATAGCAATTTAAACCATCTTTCATAGAGCGAGACCTAGTAAACACTACTTAGATAAAAGAAGCTATCTATTTTAAATAAGACCAGCTAAGTACTAGATCAAAGGCGCCACATACATTTACAACCAAATGGCACTGCTTCTGAGATCAAAGTGCTGCAGGGCTGAGAGAACAGAAAGAGCCTTTACCAAGAAAGCATGGAAAAGGACTCCGAGACTTAGCCAGAATTGAGATTTTTTTAAAGCAGACACATGTCTTTACTTATTTTATTGTTTCAATGTACAGAATCTTTGGTTAAAATCGGGGAGAAAGTGTACCAATTAATAAGTACATAAAATAAAATAAATTCTGAGCCATCAAAGGCTTTCCTCGCTATTGTTCTTTGCATTTCTGAAAGACAAGTGCTTCAAAACGTGTATAATGTTAACCAGCCGCTTTCTTTTAAATTTTGGAGCTACAAATCTGAGCCAGTAAAACTGCGTATTTTTCTTTAGGGATCTTTTAGTGGGAACTCTCAAACCATAAGGACCTGTGTTTGGACAAGAAATTTGGCCAAAAGCAATCTACTTGGCAAATCTAAATCAGACTGTGGATTCTGTTGTAAGAACAGGCACTGTGAGAGTTACCATCAAACAGTGGGAAATGCTGCAAGAAAATAAAATATGGTAAGTGACAGGATGTTTTATCGATGTGTCCAAACTGGTCGTCAAGGACATCATTTGGGGAGTGAATGAAGTATGATGTTATTTCAAAGCAACTTCCTGCTGGAATTGGACTCCCCAGGTTGTATGGTTTATTCTTGCTGTTTGTCAGCCAGACCCCAATCATAAATACAGATTTGTAAACCATGACTTATCCGCTAACCATTCTTACTTGTTAACACAGAGAGACAACTTCTATCCTTTGCACTTTGTGAAAGTGCAGGGCTGGAATATTTAATAGTCAAGATTTTACTCAAGTCAGCTGTGGATTTCTTTAGCATGTGGAGCCACATGTTTTTCAAGTGGCTAGAAGACCCCACTCAGACATTTATCTTGATGCTTGGATGCCTTTCATTTGCCGGTAGATTATAAGCCACTATAATCATTTCAAAGGCTCTCAGCTCTAAAATTAAAGCCAAAAAAAAAAAAAAAAAAAAGCATCTGTGGCATTGCTCAGGAAAACTATTTAAAGGTGGGGTAGCCAGCCTCTGAGAAAACCCCCAGCGATCTCTGCCTCCTGGTATTCACAGACTTGTGCATACAGTACAGGGTTGGTCTGTGTAACCAACAGAATACAGCAGAAGCTATGGTATGTCACGTTTAATATTATGTTATAAAAGGCACTGTGGTCCTTCCAGGTCACACTTGCTTTCTCTTTAGGAAGAGTCAGCTGCTGTGTTGTGAGCAGTCCTACTGAAAGGTACACATGCTAAGGATTTAACTCCTACTGCCAACAGCGTTCTGAGGGAGATTGAAGCTGATCATCCAAACCCCATCAAGCCTTTAGATGACTGTGGCTCCAGGCTTGACTGCAACCTCTGGGAGACCCTGGGCCAGAACTACCCAACTAAGCGGCTTCCAGATCCCTGATCCTCAGAGTGTGAGACAATGAGAAGTTTTGTGGCAGTCTGTTACCCAGCCACAGATAGCTAACACAGAAACTCTGCTCCCATCAGGAAATTGGGAACTCCTTCAGCCCACCCTTGAGATCTGTCTGTCTTAGTTGCTCAGTCGTGTCTGACTCTTCGCAGCCCCATGGACTGTAGCCCACCAGGCTCCTCTGTCCATGGGATTTTCCAGGCAAGAATACTGGAGTGGGTTGCCATTTCCTTGAGGGAGAGCTCACTAATAGTAATCCTTGTTGATGGGTGCTGAGCTAAACTGTTTCAGGTGGCGCTAGTGGTAAAGAACCCACCTACCAATGCAGGAGACATAAGAAATATGGGTTTGAGCCCTGGGTCCGGAAGATCCCCTGGAGGAGGAAATGGCAACCCACTCCAATATTCTTGCCTAGGAAATGTTATGGGCAGAGGAGCCTGGCGGGCTATAGTCCACGGGGTCCCAAAGAGTTGGACACGACTGAAGGGACTTGGCATGCACGCGCAAGCTAAGTGTTTTATGTCGATTGTCACATTTAGTTATCACCACAATCCTGTAAGGTCTATTTTGTTGTTATCCTTACTTTGCCCTTGAGAACACAGAGGTTATATAGACCAAGGTCATACAACTTAAAAAATTATCGAAGCAAGATTAAACCCCTGTCCGTCAGACTTGAGAGCCCAGATTTTTAACCACAACACTATTTTGCTTATCACAGAAATGGTCACCCACCTTGGAATAGAGAAGAGATATAATTTGGCTAAAGTCTCCCAGCATTCCCCAAATCAGTATAGATAGTACTTTAGCCCAAGCTAAATACTTGGTACTGCATGGATTGTTTTGACATAAGATTCCAAGAATATCTCCTCCCATTCCCACATGATGAACTCAACTTCTTTTAAAAGAAAAGGCCAAAGAAGAAGCAGTGTAGTGTCTCAAGAAACTGTGCGCAGTGATGAAGGCATGTGCTAACACTTATATTAATGTCATCTCTCCTATGTCCTTTTGGTTCTATTCTTCACCTGGACTGTAGGGACAAGGAAAATGGAGAAAGACCAGCTGTGATTGAACAGGAGATCAACTGTCAGCCTCTGTTAGAATTTTCTTGTGCTGTCTGGAATTGTTCTCTTGATTAAGAATGGAGCCAAGAGACTTGAGAGTTTTACCACACAAATTTTAAGGGTTTTACCTCAACAACTTTAAGATATATTTGGTAACCCTTCAAGAGCAAAAAGTCATTTAAATTAAACTTCTCCAGCTCTACCGGATGAGAAATTCTCCCAAGACCAGCTCCTTCTGGCTCTTTATTTTATTTTGGATGTGAGATCATTGACAAGCTACTAGGAGACCACAGAGTATGTTATAAAGACCATTGCTAAGCCCTGGCCAGCAGTCCAAACTGAAAATTCGAAACCTTTAGTTTTCATGGTAAGATCACCTGGGGAACTTGATAACATGCACATTCCCAGTCAGAGTCTCTTCAGATGGACTGCAGTGGGGGTCTGCATTTTAACAAGCTTTCCAGGTGATTCTGGGGCAGGTGGATCCAGGACTATCCTTAGAGGAATGTTGCTCTAGCTTCTGTCCATTCTGTGTCTCATTTCTAATCAGCAGAGGCAAAACCAGGTTTTGTGTGGGACCTGAAGCTTACACAGTTTGAGGGATTTTGTATGAGAAAAGCAATAAGAAATCACACATTTTAAACACTTGGCTGTGAATTTGAAATAACCTATGCAGCAGAAGTTTCACTGGCTTCACGGTTGAGAGGGAGAACAGTCTCTGGTCACTACCATATTTGGAGCTTTCCCCTTCACACCAACTGATTCTCTTATGCCAGTTGAGTATGCTACAGCTCATTTCAGTTCAGTTCAGTTGCTTAGTCGTGTCCGACTCTTTGTGACCCCATGAACTGCAGCACGCCAGGCCTCCCTGTCCATCACCAGCTCCTGGAGTCCACCCAAACCCGTGTCCATTGAGTCGGTGATGCCATCCAAACATCTCATCGTCTGTCGTCCCCTTCTCCTCCTGCCCTCAATCTTTCCCAGCATTTCAGCGTCCATCATTTGCTAGAACAGTTCAGAGAACTCATAAAAATTAGTTACCTACTAGATTATTGATTTGTTATAAAAGGATACAACTTGGGAACAGTCAGAGAAAGATGCAGAGAGTGAGGTGTGTGTGGAAGGACCCTATAGCTTCCACGCCTTCTCCCAGCTCCACCAACCTAGAAGCTCTCTGAATCCCACTATTTAGGACTTGTATGGAGGCTTCATAACATAAGCGTGATTGATGAAATCTTTGGCCACTGGTGCAAAATCAATCTTTAGCTTCTCTCCCTTATCAGATCAGAGGTTGAGGCTGAAAATTCTAAACTTCTCATCATATGGCTGATTCCCCTAGCAACCAGGCCCCATCACTAGGAGCTTCCCCCAAAGCCACTTCATTAACATAAACTCAGATGTGGTATAACCCTTTATTTGTTATGAACACTAAAAGATACCTTTATCACTCTTATCACTTAGGAAATACTAGGGGTGTCAGGGGCTGTTGGGCAGGAGCCAAGCCAAATATATATGTCATTATGAATCTCAATATCGCAATAGTATATCCACTTCTGCTAACATGAAACAGCCTAATTTCTCACTAGAGAAATTACTTTTACACAAAAGTTAGGGACAGTAGCATTCAGGTTGAAAAAAAAATCACTTATCACTGTTCTTCTAAAATTAAGACTTTAGGAAGTATATAGGCACTTCTAACTTAACTGAAGTCTCAATATTCCTTTTTACTCAGTCGTTCTTATTTCTTCATGATAATTTTTCATGTATCATACTATACAACAGAAAAATTAAACCAAGATTTATTTGTGGGTCAGTGGGCTGTCCTGAAATAAAATGGTAGTTAGTCCATTTTTTAGGATGTACAGAAATTTTTAAAATTCCTTGAAATAAAATTTCAGCAGTCATGTACATATTGTAAACAAAAATGCCTAGTAAGATACTAGTTTTAGTGTTAATTATTGATAAAAATTTTCAATAAAAATTGAAATTATTATAAGTGCATTACTCCTCACAGAAACATTTCCCAGCCAGGATGACACAGTTTATATTCTGAATATTAACTTTCCTCGTATTCCTCATTTTATTAACAGTTTTTCCATGCTTTGTTTTAGAACATGTATTGAGGCACTGTTTCTGGATACTAATATTTTTCTGTCCATACATCCCACCTATATGGCTTTTGAAAGAAAGTCTGTGGAAAGATATCAATATAAGTGACTTTTCTCCATCTTAAACAATAGACTTTTAAGAATTTTTTGCGTTTGCATTTTAAAGACATCAAGAAAAATAAAAGGGTGCAGATCCCAAAGCAACTTAGGTGGACTTTATTCTGTGCCTGCCAGGGGTAGCTGAGGAGCTGAAAAGTGCTCGGTGAGGAGCAAGGATTTTGAAAAAGACCCGTCATGAATTATACATCTGACAGCCTGTGTCTACATGTAGACTCAAGCTGAAGGCGCCATCTCTCTGGGGCCAGCAGCAGGTCAGTGCTATTTAGTGGCATTTGCTCAACAGCACGTCGGACCCAAGGGGCTCTCCCAAGCTGGGACTTTGCAGGTGGCAGAACCAAACAAACGGACTCTGTGCGAGGTGAGAATTCTTGCCCAGATTTTTTAGGCTATCAAGTCTGTCATTCAGGTGGTGGGGGGCATCTGCAAGCGACTTGCAGAGTTTGCGTGTACGGCCTGCCAGCTCTGGTCAGTGTCGCCAACACCTCAGTTTCATCCTGACAGAAGCCATCAGCACAAAGAATGCCACACAAACCAGGCCCTGATGCTAATTGTCCCCCTCTCAGTTCTTTAAGACCTAGACTGCCCTGGTCTAAGCATGAACATGTGCATGTGTTCCAATTTATCTAATTGTAGATATATTAGCTTTTTTTTTTTTTTTCTTTCCAGATGGTGATGAGAAAAAGGGCAACTGTTGAGACTCAATCACCCAAGTTAATATGGTGTCTCTTCCCCCATAGGTCAGGCTGGCTGTAAATACATTGGGAACAATTTGGAGCTCTGTGTGTGCTGGGAATGGGGGGTGGTCTTTGCTAGGTGTGGGGGAGGGGGCTGGTCTGGGAGTCCAATTTTCAGGGAAAACTCACCCAGTTCCTGTCAACTGAAAGAAACGTTTCATGCACATGGTGGGTCAGAATGTTATTTTTATAATATAAACCACCTGGCCTCCTCCTCGTTTACCTCTGCCTCAAATGCTATTCTACACACATACCTAGACCCAGGTCCCTGGTAACTATTACAAAACCATGTTGTATTTTGCTCCTTGAGGTTTTTTTTTTCTTTTCCCTTTTTTCTTCTCTTCTAATTCTTTTTTTTTTTTTTTCAAGTTAAGGTGAAGACAAGATGGATTGATCAGGGCTCAAAGTTTTGGTTTATTTTTACAGTTGCTTTGATGTAAAAGGACTTGGCTCTGATTGTGTGGAGAGAGATGCAGGGATGGGGTGGGGAAAGGTGAAGTCAGCCTTTCTTCCTCACTCAGCAACTCCTAAGACTGTGAGCATCTTTCTAAAGTTTAACGGCAAAGGCTGGGGAACCCCTCTGGAGATTGTCCCAAGTCTATTTACCTGGAGCCTTTCCCCAAGCATTATCTTTCACTATATGTGGAGGTTCTATTAGGAACAGCAATATGTGAATATCTCTGTTTATTTTGCTTGATGAAAAAAAAAATAAAGTTAGCAAAGAGTTCTGGGTAATAACCAGGTCTCATTAAAACAATATGCACTTCCAGTGTCACAGGCAAGCCATTAAAGCCTGGATCATTAGCTGACATATGACTTTCAAATGGGAAGGGGTTTTAACTAATCTTCCTATCTTTGAGTCTCATTAGTTGCCAAACAGGATGCTTTCCTGTGGAGATTTCTACCAGGAAATACCTCCTTTACAAGTTAAGTTACATTGCATAGCATGTCGTGCGTCAAGGTATACAAATCTAGTGACAGAGAAGAGGTCATGGCTGATTTCAAACAGTAATAGTTGACATTAAAACAGCATTAGTGCAAGGCAGTAGTCTCAATTTTATGGCAGGAACTAAATCTTTCTTTGGAGCATGGAATGTTAAGGCTAGGCCTTATTTAATAATCAGTAAAAAGAGAACATTACAATTCCATTTAGCCATGACTATGAATTAATCAAATTTTCTCCTAGCCCTTCTCTCTTGGGAAAAACTTAATTTTATAAACTTAGTTCATTGTGATTTAATACTTTAAAACAAAAAGAAGGATCATGCAACCTATGAAAGTCTAAAACATGTTCTATATTTGATAGTAAAGTGCATTTATTGCCTTAAAAATGTTCAGTTGCTGTCATGTCCAACTCTTTGTGACCCCATGGACTGCAGCATGCCAGGCTTCCTGTTCTTCACTATCTCCCAGAGTTTGCTCAAACTCGTGCTTGTTCAGTCACTGATGTCACCCAACCATCTCATTCTCTGCTGCCCTCTTCTCCTCTGCCCTCAATCTTTCCCAGCATCAGGGTTTTGTTTTTTTTTTCCAATGAGTCAGCTCTTCGCATCACGTGGCCAAAGTACTGAAGCTTCAGCATCAGTCCTTCCAATGAATATTCAGGGTTGATTTCCTTTAGGGATTGACTGGCTGGATCTCCTTCCTGTCCAAGAGACTCACGAGTCTTCTCTAGCATCACAGTTTGGAAGCATCAGCTCTTTGGTGCTCAGCCTTCTTTATGGGTGGTGGCAGGTAGTAAAGCATATGTTCCAGAGTCAGGGGAGGACTTGAATCCTAGCCCTGATAATGTACAACAGTGCTTTTAGGTGCTCCATTGACTCTTTTTGAGCCTTAATTTCATCATACATACTTTTGGGGAGGAGTGTGGACTAGAGATACTATAGGCCTAAAAATAACTGAAACAAATGAAACACACCTATCCTTCTTCTGGGTAGTATGTACCTTGGGAAGGCAGTTTTTCCACATGACTGGCTGTAGAAAAGTAGCCTTTCCAGGCAAAGGCTTTGGTGTGGAAACCAACTGGCATAAAAATGGAAGGCCTCTCAGAGACAGTGCTTTGGAAGAAGTTCATCTGCTCTGTTTTCCCACTTACTTCTCCCAACTGTGTGTGACCTTGTTACACAATGCCAAATACTGGTTGAAAATGAAAAGAAAAGAAAAAAAAAAAATCCATCAACAGATTTTTTAATGGAAAAATTAAATGTCTCAATTTTATGTGGTGCTTGGCATGATACAAAAAACCCAAGTACCACAAAATAGGTGAAAAAAAAGTATGGTACCACAGTGAATTAGCGTTCTAAACTTCAAATAAATTACACTATCACATCAGTGTTTTAGCCAGGGGATACATTTTTTTATACAATCAAAACTCATACACATAAATAATCACATGGTGTAGTATTATACTCAAAAGAATTTTTACTTTTTATTCCAAATAAGAATAAAATTCTATAACCCAAATCATTCTAGCAGACTATAGGGAAGACTATGTCACTGGCTTGAAAACAAAACCTTGAATCACAAAACTTTTAATCAAATATAAAATAAGAGAAAATACTCAATTAAGTTCCCCCTTTCAGATTTGGAAACAAAAACAGCTGCTGAAACAATGAGTGCCTTTCCTTCTGAGTTCATCAAGAGGGGAGCCAGACGTTGAGCTGATGGCTCTTGTGTTGCTCTTATTGTAAAAAATGGAAATTATTGCAAGTTTTCATGGTCATGATATGTGGCTAGGGAAGGATTAACAGCCTAGACAAAAATGGCATGGAGAGAATACATCCAAAATGCATGAATTCGTACTTAATGCCTGCAGTATTAGAAGAGAGTTTCTTTTATAAAAGACAATAATCACTAATGTGTTTCAGTATAACTTTCTAAAAGAAAAATAGTTTAGTAACAATAGATTGTTTTATTTATTGTTTAGAAATTAAAAGACAAGTCATATTTTCACTTCTCTTTTTCTATAGCAAAGTAGTTTATGAAGGCATGGTTAAAAGGCAAATTTATGGTTGATTTATCTCCCTCTGGCTCTCTGTTTTTTGGGGGGTTGTGGCATCAAAACTAACTGAAAATTCTTCAATTAGTCTTCCTGGACACAAGCCTCGCATTTACTTCAGTGGGAGGTTTCTTTGCATAAAACCAGTGGTTTGTGTCCACCAGAGCCTTTTGACTGCTTTCCTTTGATTAATCAGAAGACTAAGCTCAGTCTGAATACCGCTTTTCTAAAGAATGAATGGGCATAATCTCTTAGAGCTTTCATGAACCAGAAGGATTAATCCTGCAATCCAGTCCCATACTCCACTTCAAGTATTTTCAATTACTTGGCACCATTGGAGGTGACGTCCATGGCTCAGTAAAAAGGCTACTGCTGGCATAATGATTTCTCCATGTCCCAGCACATGGTCTTGGCGTTAATAATCCATTGTGAAATGATTTGCAATGCACAAGGGTGACATTTGATTACGTGAGAGGCATTGCAGGAATGAGCGTTTAGGCTCTCACAGACCAACTGCTGGCAAAAATATGATGAAATGTTATGCAGTGAAAATAGCATTTAAGATGGTTTCTGAACAAACCAAGAAAAGTGTAAGGACATTGCTTTTGGAGAAATTTTCTTTTTCTCTTTTTTCCTTCCTGGTTTTCCTTTCTCAAATCACATTTTTGGGGGCCAAATGGGTTAAGATTTGGCAGCCAATCACCCAAGCACATTTTCAAAACATATTTGATTCAGGAAATTCTGGATCTTTTAAAGCAAGGATGTTAACAATCCTCCTGAGAGCCTTAAAATATGATGGTTTAAACATAAGGAAAAGGAAACCCTGAAGTGATCAGAGAAATCACCAAGAGGCCACCTTGCTGAAGAGTTCAGTTTTTAAAATTTTGTTTCCTATTTTTCAGAGACCACAAGGAAGATGGTAAATTTACTACATATGGAAAGTCTTACCATTTGGGATAGAAATTTATGGGATGATTGAGAAATTCATCGCTCTCAAGGCAGCAAATACAAAAACAAAGCATTAAAATTTCTTAGACTTACATCCTCTAGATCCACTCACAGATCTGTCAAATGTATTATATTCTAAGTACATTATAATAAATGTAGTTATTACATATGAACAAACATAACACACCCCTGGGTGTGAGTATGGCCAAATCTTGGTTATGTGAGATTGTGGGTGGAGGAAAAGTTACTTTGCATAAATGAAATTCAGAGAGAATTAGAAGTTTTTTGTTTTTTTTTTAAATCAATAAGTTCAAATTAACCCACTTTACAAACTAATCACAGACAGGAACACAACAATATCAGCTGATTTTAATGTTACTGATTTTTCCTTCCTAGCCCACCATCTTGCAGAGTTAGGTGAAATACCTTAGTTGATGTATTATGTTGTGTATAATAGTATATACTGTTTTGTATGTCAGTCAATAGTGATAATATTCTAAAAAAAGGACAAATATAAACGTCATTTATTTTTTTGGATTTGTTATTCATCATTTAGCTGTTCATTCAACTTCCCTGGTGGTTCAGATGGTAAAGAATCTGCCTGCAATGCAGGAGACCTGAGTTTGATTCCCGGGTTGAGAAGACACCATGGAGAAGGGAATGGCTACCCACTCCAGTGTTCTTGTCTGGAGAATCCCGTGGACAGAGGAGCCTGGTTGGGCTACAGTCCATGAGGTTGCCAAGAGTTGGACACGACTGAGCAGCTATCACTTTTTTCCCTTTCAACAACATTTATTAGGCACTTACTAAATGCAAAACACAGTAGTTGACCTTTTAGAGATAGAAGGATAGAGACTCTGTCCCCGAGGCACTTACGTTTTCTTACAGAGACAGAGCATGCACATGAGTAGCTGTTGTTACTGCTTAGTCACTAAGTCATGTTCCACTCCTTTGTGACCCTATAGATTGTAGCCCACCAGGCCCTTTGGCCCATGGGATTCTCCAGGCAAGAACGCTGGAGTGGGTTTCCATTTCCTTCTCCAGGGGATCTTCCTGACCCAGGGATTGAACTCAATCTCTTGCATTGTCGGTAGATTCTCTACTGCTGAGCCTACAGGGAAGCCCTATAAGTAGCATAAGGTAGAAAACATTAAATACTAGAAGAGCAACAAGGATAACTGCTTTGGAAAATCAGAGGAGGTAGAGACTTCTAACGGGAAGATTCAGGGAAAATTCATGGAGAACATGGTATCTGAGTGAAGTCTGGGAAGATAGGCAGGGTTAAGACATGAAGAGAAGGTGGCGATAGCACTTCATAAGTAGGTCACACTCACATATGTCTTTCTTATTTATCTTTTCAAAGATATAGTTTTTTATTTTGTTGACTAGGTTTGCCAGTTTTGGCCCTATTTCATATCAGATCCCCCAAAGGTATCCTGCATATAAATCCAGTCTACCTTAAAACAAAACAAAATGCCCCCAAACAGTGAACTCAATGACCAAAGTCCTTTGATCCATGAACAGAATGCTGTGGCTAAGTCTCATGCAGTCACAGAGCTGTGTAACTTCTTTTATGAACTTGCTTGGAATATGGTGGGCCGTTTCAATATGAAAATCTGTGCTTCTTTAACTCAAAGAAATTTTCTTTGTATTTATTTGTATTAATACGAATTCTCTTTGTATTTATTTCTTAGTATTTATTTTGTCCCCTTATTTCCTTTGTCTCTTTCTAGAACTCTTATTAGATTAATGTTTACCTCCAGGATTAGTCCCATGTTTCCTGTCTTATCTATTTTCCATGTCTTTGTCTTTTTGCTCTAAGTTCCAGAAAATTTACTTTGTTATTTAGTTTTCACTTTGTTATCCTTTATCAGTTTGGCTGTGATCTGTGTCTACTCATCTGCTTACTCACTTTTTTTTTATTATTCTAATCTGGCAATCACATTTAAAATTTCCTGTTTCCTGCTTGCTTCTTTTTTCACAGCTATTTTAGGGATACTTATCTTTTCATAATTTTCTGAAGATACTTTTTGTAACACTCTTTTAGGTACTCTGCTGTTTGAATTGTTTCTGTTCTTTTATTTGTTTGCCTTTTTTCTTTTGCTTTTCTTCAAATGTTTGGTGATCTTTAGTCCTTTGACATTCATGGACAAAAAAATAAAACCCAGGTTCATTTAGGCAGCTGGCAAGACGTTGCTCTGTGGCTGAGTAGGTCTGTTTTCTTCGGAGGCCTCCCCTGAATGGAAGTCTGATGGAAGCTCTGTATGAGTGGGCAGCCTTCACCTTGAATGCTCAGTGGTGGACCCGCAGACTCACAAGGATCAGAGAATCCTCTCCTCAGCTGCTGCCTTTCTTTCCCCTCCCCTGTCCCTCATTCATGCCTAAGTGTCTAGGGTTACATCAAGTTCTGTTCTAAAGCTTCTAGACCACTTTCAAATCATCCTCATCAGGCAATTCACTTTCACTAGTCAGAGGTAAAAATCTGCAGCTCAGGGCAGAAGGGGGCAAGACCCCACTGGCTGGCAGCGTCCGAAGTTTTGAAAGCAGTTCTTTAAAATTACCCCATGCTGCTGTCAGAGTAAGTCTTCTGAAACACGCTTGAATATATCTTGCACCTGCTCAGAATCTTTCAAGGGTTTTGATTTTATGTAGAATAAAACCTGTTCTTCATTGCAAAGCATGAAGACACAGCTTGATGTGAGAGCCTAACCATCTTCTCCTACCACTTGCCTGCCACAGACACACTTAGGCTCCTCACATTCTGAAAACGCTTGTAGCTCTCTCGTTCCATGCCTGTGAACACTCTGTTCACTAGGCTGAGAATGTCATCCTGCCTTCACCAATTGGCAAAGACACCCTCAATTGCACACCTCCGTTTCAGATTGCTTCCTGTGAATTCTTTTTTGACTTTCCCTAGGCAGACATAGGGTTGTGGGTCTATTAAACCACATCTTCCCTTCACTCTACAAAGGATTTGAAGTAATATAAAACAGATACATGGTAACAGGATGAAATAAAATGAATGAGGCACACCAAGTTCAAAGGGAGAGTAAAGCTAGAAATATAAATAATATCAAGTATGAGATTAGTCCTAAAAATTACATGATACAAAATTTTATAGTTTATACTACAGAGAGATATACTGAAATCTTGCCTCTAAACTTTTTAGTTGTCAAAGCTAAGAGGGGAAGTCGAGTTCTTCTGAGTTTCACATTGTCCATAAACTATAATTGAGGCATTTTTGCCAGCTGTTGAAAGTTAAGAAAGTTTACTGCACCAAAGGGCTATTTACAAAGGTGACTGGTAAACTGAGAAGTTCTTACCTTTATGCCTTCATTGACTCTTGAATATAGTGATGTAATTACTATAACTTTTTTTGTACATTTCTTTCCTCAAAGTATGGACCACATATCCTCATTACTTGGCCCAGTGCTTGATATTTCCTAGTCACTCAGTGAGTATTTGTTGCACACACTGGATAATCAGATGCTGATTGTTTGTACAAACAACCTAGGGGTACAACTAGAAGTGCATCATCATTTATACCCCTTTCATAAACATAATAAAGAATTAGCAAACTGGAAGAATCTTTATACTAATGATCAGAACAATACTTGGAATACTTCTATAATGAGATAAACACATTGCATGTATATCTCATTTGACTCCCAACCAACCCCATGGGTATTATTCCCTATCTCAAAATCAGGGAAATAGATAAACATTTCGCCAAGGTCCACAGGTATTCAGAGCAGAACTTGGGATTAGCACAGGTGCTTGAACCCAGCCCTGTGACTCTCAACCTTTGCTGTAGGTTCATGCTATGGTGTGTAGTAGATTGATTACCATTTGATTACAAATTTCACGAACATGAAGACTTTCTACTGATGGAAAGACTTTGCCCAAGTTCCTTTGTTCTTTAAGGTTTATTCCAAAATGTTTGATGGAAAAGGCAGCAGCTATCAGGCAAATAAAATGTTATAAAATTCATTTTCCACAAAGCAATATCAGGGGATAGCCTCCTAATTAAAAAGTACTCAATTTAAAAACCAGAACCTCTGACCAATTCTTCTCTTATGTAATGGAATATGGCACAACTTTTTTTTATTACAACCAAGAAAACTTATGATGTTACCATTTTATAAATAAAAAGGTTTATGCTATTTTACCTCAATCAGCTTTCACTGATCGATTTATGGTTTCTTACCTGAAAATTTCCAAAACAGCTTCCCCCTGGGAGGGTCACATAACTCACGTAGGGTGGTCCAGGAGATGGCAGCGACTCATAGACCACCACACCTTCACTCGGGAATGCAGCCTTCTGCTGCTGCTTGCTTTCCCAAAATTCCTGTAACATCGACACAACATTCACTGAAAAAGACAAGAAAAATAATCAGTAGTTAAGGATGGACATACCTTGGCAAAAACAATATTTTATTTGTGGGTTGGGTCGTGTAACATGTCATTTCCAGTGTAAGGAAAACAGAGTATGTGTATGCTCTGGTGGGATGCTTTCAGTTGTGAAAGAGGCAAATACTATCTAACACAAATATGTTTAATTTTTCTTGAGCATGGCTGAAGGGGTTTGGCATCATAATTTTAATGACATTGCAGCATGTTAAAATTACAATTTAATTTTTTATATCAAATTTAAAAATCTCTTCCTTCTTTGAGAATTTTCCTTAAAAATTCTGTCTAGAGCTATGATTATCCATGAATCCCATTTCTCACAGATCCATAGACCTGCAAAGGAAAAGCTAAATTCAAGGGTAAAAATACAAGCAATGAAACTTTCATTGGAACTCACCTATTATAAGATTTAAGAGGAGAAAAGCAAAGAAAACTTTTTCATGCTCCTCTCCACCCTAATCTAAAGGAGAATGAGGGTAATTGTGTAATAAGCAAGAGGCTGAGGGGTAGGGGGGAAACTGTAAGTGAAACTAATAACATAGAAACCTTGTTAAGGACCACGTCTGTTAGATGACTTCAGAAAACATAGTAATGGCTATAGCCATGTGTTTTGGATTAAATGACCTGTGATAGCCTGCAGAAGTTCCAGATCAAATTAGGTTGGTTTGTTTATCCTCTATTGCAAATTGAATTGTGGAAATTAACAAGGATAATAGAATTGTAGCGGCAATGGAGACCCTATAGGTCATGCAGGCGAAAGTCTGCTTGATGCAGGAATTCCTTGCAAAGCTCCGCTGACAGCTGCTCATCTGGCCTGATTCTGAACATGTGGAAGGACCTGGTACTTGGCACATCTTAAGGTGGACCATCTCAAATGCTAATAGTTTTAACTATAAAAAGGTCCTTTTAGGGAGTGAGCTGTAATCTGCATTCCTATAAGGTTCATGCAAGTGGGCTATTTCTCATTTCTGGGGCTCTGACCTCAGAGAAGTTAATCCCCATCTTCACAAGAAAACCCACTATGTACTTGAAGGTGGCATAGGAAATCTGTTGTTTTTGCCTACCTGGCATTTGCTTTTCCTCTTTGTAGGAATAGCATAAAAGCTTTCTTTAAAGAACCACCTTTATTTTAATCATGTCTTCTCTAGGGCTGAAGGATGGATATTACAATCAAAGTCAGGTCACTTAGGGTAAAGAATCTTTGTTGGGAAGGGTGGAAGACTGGATTCTCCTTTTCCACTAGATTGTTGGGGGTATAGGAGAGAAGTGTGGTGCTGCCTAGGCAAGGGGGAAATAACGGCTGAAAAGAAAGCCAACATAGAGAAGGGCAGAACCAAGAGACAGGGAAAGAAAGACTAGTTCTCATGTCATAGTTTGAGCTCCTGAACCAACACAAATGCTTTTTTCTTAAGCCATTTTGAATAGGTGTCTCTCACTTGTATATGAAAGCATACTAACGTAGAAAGCTCTCAGGTTTCTCAAGTTCCGGATTAAATATCTTTTTTCTTTCAAACATTCTTTGTATAGTACGGTGTCTGGGCCTTTTGACATCCTCCTGATATATTTCTGAATATATGTGCTTCAAAATGCAGGGCTTTGCTATTTTGCAGGAAATCAGGAGAGTCACAGTTTGACCTGGAGGCAAAAATATTTCACAACCACCTTCTAAGCTGTTGAATAGAGCATCTGGCTCTTTCACATCATTCTTAGGTCACTGATCAGCTTCCAGCTTTACAGGGCATAGTTCAGGAAAATTATCGAGATGCCTAAGGAATAGGATGTCTGTATATATTTAAGGACTGCAATTTTTAGTATTTAAGATGTGTTTTGGGAAATAAACCAGGAAATATAAGACTGTCAAGGGGGATAATTGAATTAACCAATAAAATGTATGCTGATTGATCAAGGTGAGCTTGGTAATTACAGACATTTTTCATTCATTCAAAAATATTTGAAGTGATATTTTCTACCAGTTGACGTCACTCAGAATAGAACTTTTATTTCCTAAATTGTATTTTTGCTCCCTATCTTCCATTTCCTCCCATGTCCAGGAAAACAAGTATTTTTTGAGCCAACTGATCTGTCTTTCTACCTGTAGGTGACCTCCAGAATTCAGCAGTGATGTCTTGAAGCCAAAAACCGAAACCAGTGATCTGTTGCTCTGATAGTCAGCAAGGGCCATTAGGCTGCTATTTTAAGTTAGTTCATTGCTGAATGATGTTCAGCCAACACCTGGAGTAGGAAGATGAAGACTCATACTTATCTAGGTAAAATGAACACAAGAATTTTGGCATGTAAAGCTGTGTGGATTAGAGTTCAAAGTACGTACTAAGTAAAATTTATGTAGGAATAAAAGTAGCAGTTTTCGGATCTTTTATTCTGCAACTTTGAAGGATTTCTTTGATGGTCTTATGTATGTCATCACCTCTGAAGAGTGCAACATATGTACATGGACACACGCAACTCATCTTTCTATCTCTATCTCCTCTTGTCGGCTGGAAAACCAGATGAATGGAGTGCAGAGGGAAGAGGGCCAGCTTGTTTAGAATTTCCAAGATCAGCATATCTGAAGATGCTTTATTTATGAAACATACACTTCTTTATTTTTTTGAAGTATTAACAACAAAGTTCATGGACAGCGTCAAAGAAAACGCTGGCAAAGGGTCAAGTATGCTGAAGAAAACCACCCCAATTTGAGGAAAGGCCTCATGGCACAGTTTAGACTCCAGCTGCAGCTGCACCTTCAGAGACCAGCCAGTGATCCTGCCTTTCATATTATAAACTGAGGCCACCAAGCATGCAGTATCCCTCCTTACATCTAGGGACCCATCTGTGCATGTGCTCAGCTCCACCTTATTTCCATCAGTCTCACGTGAACTTGTGTCGCTTCTTCTGGGCTTTGTCCTATTAGTCATTCTCTTGACCTTCTGTTTTTAAATGTTTCTTCTACTCACTGCTTCTCAGCAGCCATAGGTGTGGGCAAGACAACAATAAATGAATAATCAATCAAAAGAAGTACTCGACCTTGGGACAACTTTTGGCTACTAGTTATTAAAATATTCTCAATATAGCCCAAGCTGCTGGAAAGAATATTCTGTATTGCTCTCTCTGCTTCTTTATCTTCCGTTCATTTTTAACCCACTGCAATCTGGCGTTCTGCTATATTAAGCTACTGAAAAGACTCTGGCAAATATCACTGATTCTAACTTTCAGTCCACATTTATTTGACCTCTAACTGCATTTGACACAGCTGATAAATTTCTTCTAGAAACTCTCATATCCCTAACCTTTTCTGACTGTATTCTCCCTGTTTCTATCATTTCTTCTGAGTAATTTTTAGGGTCTCTTTTCCTCTGCTCACCCCTCGCGGTGTTTTGCTTGAGAGTCTTGTCCTCGTCTTTTCTTGCTTCACTCTATTGTTCTTAAATGCCAGAACGGATTTCCATTAACCCATCTACCATAATATATGCTAATGGTTACTCTCTCCTGTGACTCCAGCTTTGTTAATAGGTATTTCCATTTGTTTGTTGCTTGGACTTCCCTGGTGGTTCAGACAGTAAAGTGTCTGCCTACAATGCGGGACACCTGGGTTCAATCCCCGGGTCAGGAAGATCCCATGGAGAAGGAAGAGGCACCCCACTCCAGTACTCCTGCCTGGAAAATCCCATGGATAGAGGAGCCTGGCAGGCTACAGTCCATGGGGTCGCAAAGAGTCAGACATGACTAAGCGACTTCACTTTCTTTCTTTTCTAAATTCAACATATTCCCCAAACTCAACTCATTTTCTTTTCCATAAACTACTTAAAAAGTGATATTATCATCTATCCAGTCATACAAATCAGATAACTGACAGGAACTTTCAACTTAATTTCCTCTTTCCAGACCTAATAAGTGCTAGAGTTCTGTCACTTCCACATCCCGATGTCACTGATAGGCACCGCTTCCTCTCAGTTAATATAGCCATTGCTTCATGGGTTCACATCTCACCATATATACCACAGTACCCTCCTGACTCCAGTCACTCTCCCATCTAACCCATCCTCAGCTGTTTCCAGGTAATCTTTCTGAATGTTATGGTTGATTACATCACTCCCATCTTAAAATCCTTCCATGAGTCCCTCATTACCTGCAGAGCAAATAACTCCTTGTCAAGTCATAGAAGGCCCTATGTCTTGATCCTCTTTCTCATTCCAAAGTTCTCTCCTCAAATCAAATCCCAGGCCCCCCTCTCTATCATGCTTTTTATGCTACTAGCAAGCCCTCTTGAATGCCTTTCCATTCCCTGTCATCTTCCTGGCGGGCACCTACCTACTCATTTTTTTTTTTTTTAAAGACCTACTTCCAGCAATAGCTCTTTAAAAATGAAAACAGACCCAAAATAATCTCTAAACCCTTCCCGTGGAAACTGCAGTTCTCTGAGAGATAGCATGGATATCACTTGGGGACGTGTTAGAAATGCAAGGTCTCAGGCCCCACCCCAGGCCTACTGAACCAGAGTCTACATTTTTAACAAGATTCTCAGGCAATCTGATGCACATTAAAGCTGGAGAAGCTCTGGGTAGGGGAGGAAGAAGTTGCTCTTCTCGTCTCCCTTACCACGTGCCTGTTATATGCCAGGTATCAGGCATTTTCTCATATAATTCTTACAACGCCTTCTAGAAATAGGCATTATCATCCACAACTTAGAGATAAGAAGTTCAAAGATGCTCAGGGTACAGTCCTGTCACACAGTTATTAACTCAGCCTTGGAATTTTTAACTTAGTTTGGTCTGGATATATAGTCTAGCTCTCTGCTCATACTGAGCCACTCCTAATTANATTATCACCCACAACTTAGAGATAAGAAGTTCAAAGATGCTCAGGGTACAGTCCAGTCACACAGTTATTAACTCAGCCTTGGAATTTTTAACTTAGTTTGGTCTGGATATATAGTCTAGCTCTCTGCTCATACTGAGCCACTCCTAATTATAATGGAATTTAAGTTGTTTTCATGCATGCCTAACATCTATTAGAAGGATTTTAGAAGCATAATAAATGTTGGTTGAGTAGCTGATGCCATTAAAGTTATGCAAGATATGCCGCTTTTGTGAAGCTCCTGCTAGGCAAGGTATAGGGGACCCTGCAGAAGAATTGCTTCACCGACCATTTTCTATGGACCATTTTTCTAATGCTTGTCTTTGGTAGTCAAACAAAGCAAAGGGTTAATATTTGTATATTTCCATACACATGATATGATACATTTCCAGCTTGGAATTGTCACTGTGAGTGGCAGTCCGTGTCATGCGAACAGGTGTCCTGATCAACCTTCAGCCAATACTCTGCTCTGGCTAAAAGCAACACTGTAAACACCCAACAGTCATGGGCTTCAGAGGGGGCTGGGATGAAGTCTCACATTCCAGTCCCTCCTTTCAAGGAAAAATGACTAAAGAAGAGGCCACAAGAGGAACAAGAGCAAATGGCGAAAGACTGAGGAAGGCCTTGGGACCGGTTTCCTGGGAAGAGGGGTATGAACGCAAGTCAAGGTCAAGTCTCTCTGCCTGAGTGTGCCTTCTCCCTGAGGGTCAGGGAGCTATAGTCTGGAGCACATATTTTGGGGCTATGCATTATTTCTCTCAAAGTTTGGTGAAATTCTTTTTGAAGAGTCTCTCCATTGTTTGAATGGACACTAAAGGAAAAGGGCTTTTATTCATAAGCCGGGAAAAGATAACATTAATCATTCACGGGGAGTCTAGACACCAGACAGGAGACAGGCAGTGAATCCTGAGCTGGAGATCCAGAGAAATCAGATGGGTAACAACCTGGCTGATGCTGGAGTCAGGACAAGTTGAGTGGCCCTCCAACTTCAGGGTTAACAATCATAGGCCATCCACAGGTCTTGCCTTTGTCAAGGCAACTGTGTTTAACTGGAAAAATTACTATACAGAAATAGAATATCAAATGGCTGAGGCTGGGGTTATGAGAGGAAGTGGAAGGAAAGAGAATTGTTGGGGAGATCCTAGGAATGATAGCTTGAAATCCAGTTCCTTTTCATGACTTTTATCAGATTGTAACATCTGAGAGTTTAAAAAAAAAGAAAAGCAAATTAACCTCTGAATTGACTTTGCACATCAGACTTCTTAATCCACTCCATTGCTCCACATTGTTTTCTCAGACACATGTAATAGACCCTGTCCTGGACTAAATATTTGTGTCTCTCACACATCCATATGCTGAAGCCCTAACTTGCAGTATGGTGGTATTAGAAGGTGGGGACTCAGGGAGATAGTCAGGTTTAGATGAGATTATGAAGGTTAGATGTAAACTAATAGCTCAGTTGGTAAAGAATACGCCTGTAATGCAGGAGACCCCGGTTCAATTCCTGGGTTGGAAAGATCTGCTGGAGAAGGGAAAGGCTACCCACTCCAATATTCTGGCCTGGAGAATTCCATGGACTATATTGTCCAAGGGGTTGCAAAGATCTTCAAGGCAAATAAATGGAGAAACAGTGGAAACAGGCACAGACTTTATTTTTGGGGGCTCCAAAATCACTGTAGATGGTGACTGCAGCCATGAAATTAAAAGACGCTTGCTCCTTGAAAGCAAGACTTTTGGACTCTGTGGGAGAAGGCGAGGGTGAGATGTTTCGAGAGAACAGCATGAATATTATCTATAGTGAAACAGATCATCAGCCCAGGTGGGATGCATGAGACAAGTGCTCGGGCCTGGTGCACTGGGAAGACCCAGAGGAATCGGGTGGAGAGGGAGGTGGGAGGGGGGATCGGGATTACTCAATGGACATGAGTTTGAGTAAACTCTGGGTGTTGGTGATGGATAGGGAGGCCTGGTGTGCTGCAGTCCATGGGGTTGCAAAGAGTCGGACACGACTGAGTGACTGAAGTGAACTGAAATGATGTGGGTTAGAGCCCCACGATGGGACTGGTGTCTTTATAAGAGCAGAAAGAGGTACCACAGCTTCTCCTCTTAGCCTTGTGAAGACACAGCAAGAAGGCAGACGTTTCCAAGCCAGGAAGAGGGCTCTCACCAAAACGCTGGCTCTGCCAGCAACTTGATCTTGGAACTGTGAGAAATACTAATACATTTCCATTGCTTAAGCCACCCAGTCTATGGTATTTTGTTCCAGCAGCCCAAACTAACTAAAACAAACCTCTTCGGTGGTTTTGAATACTTTTGTATCAATAAGAAGACAATTTGCTATGCAGTTTATAGGCAGTATTGTGGGTACTTTCTTTCTCAGTGTTTTGAAATTTGAACATGAGAGTTTCCAGAGGAGTGACAAGATCTCCGAGCAAGTCTTTCGTAAGTGAGGTTTCCACCTTCCTCCAGCTTTCTTTCTGATTATAAAATTCAGCATTAAAACTTCACAGAAGACAGTTGACCAATGAAGACATCCAACAATGTGGAACACCTTAACCATCCAACCTTTGACCCTTTCTAGCAGAAAACCTCAATTAGCTTCAGCAAAGGCAGTGACTTTACTTGCCCTTGAACACATACTGCGTGGTTTTTTTTTCCCCCGTGCTTTGGTTCAAGTCCTCCTTCCTGCCCCAAGGGTTGTTTCTGCCTCTCCTTTCTACTCATCCAATTTACTCTCACATTTCAGAGGCAATACCACCTCCTCCATCATGCCTTACTGCCTGATTCCAGCCCACATGAATGGCCTTTCCTGCGCTCTTATTCCATCAGTGGCCCTGTGTCTTAGCACTTAATCTTCTATAAACCATGCTAATAAAATGGATGTGGTGCTCCTGGCTAAATTTATCAAGTCAGACTTGGCTGGGCTTACTTCTGGCCAGAGGAATGAAATGCCTTGGGATAACAATTCATCTTATAGAGAAGAATTGTATGTTATTCACCTCACAGCAGATTGTGATTCCAGAGGACAGGAAGTCTGGTTCATTCTTCTCTGTATCCTCCTTGGTATCTAGCACAGGCCTGTTCATCTAGAAGCAGTTGCTGAATTCATTTGGACTCTAAAAAATACTACATATCTGAACTGTGCAACTGAATGAACATACAGAGGAGAGGTGAAAGTACGATGATTCATGGAGAGATCAAGACTTCCTTCTAGAATAGGAGATTTCTTACATGAACCATCATGGTGCCCACGCGGCATGGGTGTGTTGGTGGTAGCCGCGTCTCAGCTGGAGATGGTTGAGTAGGTGCAGGAAGATGAAGCCTGGGGAGGGTGATTGCTAGTTGCTTGCCAGCTAGGGCTTTACTTTCATGATAACTAGACCTTACGGCTATCCTAAACAGCGATCTAAATACTTTTGTCTTAAAGTGTCAGTTCTCCATTTCTGTTGACTGCCTGGAGCATAGTGTTGAAAAGGATTTGAAAGTAGTCTCTGGGATCGGTGGAACAGAACACCACAATTAACCTGCAATGAGTCCCTGGTCTATCTGGAGACCCTGACCTTGATGGCATAGAGTCAAAAAAAAAAAAAAGTTAAAATAGGCCTTTGCCACATAAAGATTTACTGCAGAAATAATGAATTCATAATTTGTTAACAAAATATTAGACTGCTACATTGTATAACAGAAATGATTTTAAGGTAATATTAGAGCTCTAAAATTTATGGCACAATTAACTAAGTACATTTAAGGGGAAAAGTAGATAAGTGTGGACTGAAAAGGACAGAGGAGAGGAGGAGAGCCTAAGCTGAATCTCCTCAGAAAAATGAGATTTAGACCAGGATGGGGAAGGGGGTAGAAATTATGCTCCCAAAAAAGTGAGAGTGGCATCTGACAAAAAGAGTAAGAAAAATAGTAATGCCTCAGTGGAGGAATTGTGTGTGGAGTGATAGGAAAGTATGCCATGAGGAAGGGGTACAACTCGACAAGCAACAGGCCAAGCGGACTTCGCTTCTTTTAATAACTGGAAATTAATGCTACTGTTCTGGTGCCCCGGGCAAGTGGGTGAGAGAGGCAGGGGCACAGATTTCCTTGTCCTTTGCCTTTGAGGTGCTGTGCTGTCTGAAGAGGCTCCATTCATGAAAAACAAGGGCACAAACACAGAGAGAGAACGCGCGGTCGCTCTCATGCATCTGGGTGAGCCCAGGAAAAACGTTCCTCCGGTAGGAGCTTGAGCAGAAAAATCCATGAGGAGTGGGTAGGAGATGGAGCAAGCAGAGTGCTCCTTTGGCAACCTGGAAGGAAGGAGCATGAAGCCTTTCAGAGGGCTTTATCCTAAAAACGTAGATCTTGTCATTTCCATAGATTGGGCACGATGGAGATGCCAACAGGGACACGTGACCTATGTTTTCCCATGGGAATTCTGAGATTCAGAGCATGTAAATGTGCCATGGAGTATAGCGTTTGTTCCAGGAGAGTCCTCAAGCAGAGGTTTTGCTTCAAACAGAATGAAATGTGTACTGAATCATGTCTCTCCCCGTTTTATCAATAGGTAGGCAGTTTATTTAGGCAGTTAAAAGCATGGCCTCTGGAGCCAGAATGCCTGGGTCTGAATCCGGTCTCTCCTGTGCAGAGATACCTACCGAGCGCCTCTGTTCTATCTGTAAAAGGCAGTATTTACAAGGTTGCTGTAAAGCTCAAAATGGAAAATGCTGAGAACAGAGTTTCACGCATAGTAAGCACTAGAGGGTTAGCTATTATTTGTGGTTGCAGAAGGTGAAGGAAGAAAGGAAAGGCCATGATTATATGCTTGCACATTGCATCTTTGAAACTGACTGTTCCTGGATTGGAAACCATATCATTAAACATTCTGAAAATACTCTCCTGTCTTAAAATTCTCTAATTGTACAGGTTGTGCTATTTAATTTGTGTCTAAGATATGTGAAGAATTCAGAGATGGAAATGAGAAAACTTTTAATATCATTCACTGGTAAAGTCAAAGCTTCATGATAGCCAGAAAATAAAGGGAAGAAATACTACATGTCTCAAAATCTGGAAACACGGATGTTTGTCCATTTTTTCACTTTCTAATGAATGCTAATGGTAACAGACCTGCTCTTAGGAAAAAACTACAGAAAGGAACTAACTCTTATTTTAAATTAATGTTAATAACTCTTATGCTTCAAGAAAGTAGAAACATTATAGTTCATTGCCCAGTTCAATTACCTAATATGAGGTAAGTCCTGACTGGAAAGATAGTCATTTGTCAGCAATAAGGGATCTTAAAAGTATGTCATAAATCTATCAGAAATAAAGAACCTATTTCTTCATGCCTTGCATGAGAAAAAATTCTAGCTGGTTAAAAATTTCCTTTGCCAAAAACTAAGACAAATTGGAAAGGTTACCATTTTAGGATAAACCAGTTAGAGGCTTTCAAGATGAGGAACATAGTTTCAGATTGATTCTCTGTCTCCAAACAGATGGATTTATGGTATGTAATATTTTAATATAATCTTCAACTATAAATTACTCTTAGCAGGTGATATTTTTAAATAAAATTAATAGCATTTTCTATTCTAGCAATTCAATCACATATACCTTGTTTTTGTAAATGTGATCCCCTAGTTTTATTGAGAAGCAGGAAAAGGACTCCCAAATAATTTAAGGAGCAAGCTCAAGGCATCTTGCCAATTTGCCATTCATGCAAAATTGGGTTCCTTTAGGTCTTGTGCTTGGCTTGGCAAACACCAGGACAGTGACCGACAGAGCCAGCTGTCTAAACATTTATAACCATTCTCAGGCTCTGACAAGTTTTGATCAGGCTAATGGAATCTTGCTGACACCGCTTATGAGTCGTGTACGACATGCAGGAAACTCGGGCCACTTCTTCTTTTCTGTAGACACTCTCTCAAAGGTAGCCACAGCCACACACAGAGATGAGACAGCACAAGAGTCTTGCTTTGTTCCCAGCGTTACTAGCTTTCTTTTAGTTATTCTCCAGAGTCAGTGCCTAGCTCCTGCAGCAGTTGGGAAGCTGATCGTATTTCTTCTTTTGTTTCCTTTTTCTTTTCTTCTGATCTGGTGCCTGTTCTCCATCTTCAACACTTTTTCTGAGGGAATTAAGTTCTTTGGGATGTTTTACAAAATTAACCTCTTGGAAGACTCTCCAATATATACAAAAAAAAAAAAATTACATCATTCTTTTTGCTTTAACTTTCACCTTTAGAATTTAAAATTGAGCTATAAATCATTTGGGGGAGAAATTTAAATAACACTTTTTTTATTGGAGGATAACTGCTTTACAATGTTGTGTTGGTTTCTGACATACAACATGAATCACTCATAATTATCTATCTATCTATCTATCTATCTACCTATCTATCTATCTATCTCCCCTCCCTTCTGAGCCTCCCTCCTGCCTCCTATCCAATCCTCTAGGTAACCACAGAGCTCCACGCTGGGCTCCTTGTGTTAAATAAAACTTTTTTTTTTTTTTTAATATCTTTGGACGTACAAGGTAACTTTTTAAGAAGGCAGAAGGGAGAGAACATCAAGGAACAAGATGGAATCACAAAGATGAAATAAAAGGTTATTAAATATTCCACCATTAAATGGCAGCACCTGAGCTCCCAAGTGTGGTTTTTCACGTATATCATGCTTCAGATGATGTCATCCAATCACAAAAGCTACATAGACTAAAAACCTGATGTAATCTATTTAAGCAATTAGGAAGTATATATCTTTCCCATGTACCGCTGAGCACTGCATTTGCACTGTAAGTCAAAGAGAAAAACAAATATCCTATATTAACGCATGTATGTCCTATATTAACGCATGTATGTGGGATCTAGAAAAATAGAACAGAGGAACAAGTTCCAGGGCAGGAATAGAGACACAGATGTAGAGAACAGACATGTGGACACAGCGGAGAAGGCAAGGGAGGGATGAATTGGTAGATCAGGCTTGACATAAATAGATGACCACGTGTAAAACAGATAGCTAGCGGGAATCTGCAATATAGCATGTGGAGCTCACCTCGGTGCGCTGTGCTGACCTAGATAGGTGGGATGGGGTGGGTGGGGATATATGTATACACATAGCTGATTCACTTCGTTGTATAGCAGAACCTAACACAACATTGTAAAGCAATTATATGCCAATTAAAAAAAAAAGACTTTGTAGGACTGTTGACTTCAGGTAACAACCAAAGATCCAAGAAAATAAAAAATAAAAACCAAAAAAACCAAAGCAAACACAGTTGCTTTGTCGACCAGTTCTGTTTGGTTAAAACGGTCAAATTTGTGCAAACGTGGCTTTAGGTATGTCACGTACTTTCCCCCGGTATAGTCATTATAAGAAAGCTATCCATGACCCTGCCACAGCTATTTAACTGGGTTTTTGTACAAGGCACAGACAGAGGTCAGCCCTGAAGAGCTTGATGTACACAGCCCTTGGCGATTCAGAGTTGAGGGTAGACAGAGAGAATGAAAATAAGAACTGGCGATCTGAGTCACTGTACTGGTGTGTTATATGGGATAATTTGGGCTGCTCTACCAAAGCCAGGGGCCTCCCGGGTAGCTCAGCTGGTAAAGAATCTGCCTGTAATGCAGGAGACCTGGGTTCCATTCCTGGGTTGGGAAGATCTGCTGGAGAAGGACATGGCAACCCACTCCGGTACTGTTGCCTGGAGAATCTCATGGAAAGAAGACCCTGGTGGGCTACAGTCCACGGGGTCACAAAGGGTTGGACATGACTGAGGGACGTCACAATACCAAGGACAACCTGAGGCAGCGCTCTGGGGAAGTTGCCTGAGGTGGCTGTGTTTATTTTCAGAACCCGTTCTTCTTCTTCTGAAGATGCTCCCTCCTGTTTCATGGAGCTGTCAGCTGAAACCTGTGCGCAGGCTGTGATTAAGGTGTCACGAGATGATGGCTTAGTGAGCCCCAGTACCATTTATCTCATCTTCCTCCCTTTTGTGAGGGAGAAAACCAGTGAGTCAGCAACCGGAAAAGTCTGCTGTGCCTGCTAGGTGCCTGGCCCTGTGAGGGATTCCTCTGGCGGCTACATAGAAGTGCAAGGTATGGCTTTGCCCTCCTGGGACTTGCAACTGAGATGTGGAAAAAACATGCCAGCCAAACTATAACTCATGGGGCAGAGCCTGTGAGAAAAATGTAAACTACGCTTGACAGCCCGTAAGTGCCAAAGGAGTGGTGACTAAATGTTGGGTTCCCACAGCTGTGTCATGGGATGGGATCAAAATAGGGATCAACCGATTATCATCGCAGAGGAAGGGGAAAAAAAAGCGAAACCATAATGCAAACAGGATTCCAAGGACACCAGACAGAGAGTGTAGAAAACTACAGGGAGTGTAATAATTGCCTATTTTGTCATTCTTAAACTTTCAGGAGGATTCTTTTTTCCCCCTTTTTCTTTTAAAACAGGAGTTTTAAAAGCTACCTTGACAGATTAAACTGATATGAGCATTTGAACATGGAAGAAAAGCAATAAGAGCCTTTGGGGTTAAAATGTCAATATGAAATGTATTCAATAAAGAAGATTCTTTTATGAAAGGCTTCTAAAGTTGTCTTACATTTCTTAAATCAATCTGTAGCACATAATCAGTAAAACCGTATCATTTAAACAGAAAAATCATAACTTAGAAACTCACCCTTGTGCAGCTGTATCCTATTATGGGCTGTAACTTAACACATGAGTTTCAGAAGTTGTTAAAAGTTGAGCTCAGGCTAACAAATCTTAACTGTTAAAAAAAAAAGCCTATGGTGAGATGAGACAGCAGACCATGAAGAGGCACCAGACTTGATCACAGGATGGGTGTCAGTCAATATTCTTTTTGATTTGTTAAATCTTATTTATATATTAAGAAATAAATGTATTAAGATAGATGTTGCCATTAAGTGATCAAGAAGCCTCTTCCTTTTTTTCCATTTTGAAAAATTTTCCTCTGCACTGAGACTGTTAGTATTTAAACTCTGCCAAATGTATCTTTATTGAAAAAAGGAGGAGGACAGGGCTTATGCCACAGATAGCTGAACTGAAATCTGCATTTTTCTCTTGAAATAAGTCAAAATAAAAATAGTTGTATCCTACAACAAAGTAAAACTAGCATTTGAATAGTTTTCTTCAGTAGAAGAGGCATCCACAGTTTAGATGCTAAAATTATCAGAGTTCAAATTATTGTAAATAAGATGTAGTCATTAATCTAAAATGAGCTAGCAAGAAGTAGAGGTTTTTGTTTTTTGTGTTTTCACCATGCTCTTTCCAGCACACTTTCTGTGGTGGAATGCCATGCAATACATGAAGGGATTTTACTGCACAAGTGCCTTCATCTCTCACTTCCTACTCCATCCTTTACATGAAATGAAGAAACCATAAATGTATCATCAAGTTTACAGATTTCAGATAACTATGCTAAAAAGCATGGGGCGGGGAAAATATTTGACTCTTGAGAATGTTTCCTCTCTTGCATTCTATACAGCCAGAATCACGATTACTAAGATATTTTTAATAGGTCTATAGTCTGGTCCAATTTTTCCAAAGGGTAAAAATGTACTTTTTGAAGTGTTCCCCTAACTTGGATAAATATAAGCTTTCATACAGAAAAGTGTCTCCTCAAATGGAAGAGTTAACAAACTTCAAATATGTGAGAAATTTTTCTTCTCATTGTTCAATGTTTAGTAAACGTTCCACCTAATTTGTTTTCATTGCAAAATTTTGGGAAACATTAGTGAAATCTAACACATTACTTTATAAATCAGTGCTACAAACCAGCACACTCTCAGGGCTTCAGTGACAACTAAGATCGTTTGTAACTATCTGAGAAAGTTTGTCGTAATTTCAGCTTTATTTAGTGGAAGTGGTTTCTCCCTATAGGCATGTTTACATTTACACCTCTTGTTATCTTGCCTGAACGGGTAAAAGGATTCTTGCTGTAAAAAAGCTGCCATTCTCCCCAACTTAATATCAGGAAGTGTACCTTCAACAGATGTCAATACAATCTTTTCCGCAACACAACATAAGGCCCCATGCTTTCAGAACTAATCTAGGATCACTGTTAACTCCAACAGCTCCCTGTTGCCTGCACTTGGGTGTGATTCCACCTGCCTTTTCAGCCTTGCCTCCACCTTCCCTGATGCGCTGTTCTTGTATTGCCCGATCTGCCTTTCGGCAAACTGTTCTCTCTCCTCAAAAATTTCCTTCTCCTCTCACTCTCCTGTTACACTGCCACTCAGATAAGCTTATTTAATGGACTCTCTCCAAACACCCAGAAAAGTCCATTTCAGTCCCACCTCTGTTTTCCTAACAGACACTGTCATGACAGCACAAATCACGTGGCAATATAACTCTTCTGAGACGCAATGTCTTGTATCGGCTAAAGGTGAGAAGTTGGAAGATAGGATTTGAATCCTGGCTCTATCATTTCATTAGGTGTGGTCTCGAGCAGGTCACCTTTAAGCTCCAGAAACTTCAGTTCTCTCACTATAAATCACGACCGTACCTACATTATTGACATGCTGTGAAGAATAAACGTTCTTAGCATAGTGTCTTAATCACGGGATGAGGGCTTGACATTCTAGCATTACTAATGATGCATGAAGAAAGATCCCAAAGATGGCAGATCCCAAAGATGGCAGATAAGCTTATGATGCTCTTGCAATTTGAAGAGTTAACAGGATAGGATCTGAATGTGAAGACTTCTTGAAATCAGGGCACGGTGACTTACTTTGGGCAAGCATGTGAGAATCTGTTAAACTATGGCCAACAGACAGTAAGCTTACACACAAACTCTCAAGAAAGCTGACAAAGGCTGCTTTCAGGATAGCTCATCTTTGGTTGTGATGCATGACACAAGGAAAGAAATTGGATGTTGCACAAAGCCAAGAATGGAAGGAAACATGGAGATATGCCTTAGTTCCTCTGCAAAGAGATTCTGTTGGGCGGTGCAGACTCCTGGAGATACCTGTTACAAAGTGGAGACATTCAGGCAGTAGAGAGCAGTCAGGTTAGATGAACAAAGTACAAACCAGTGCCCACCTCATTTAAAATTTCTTTCCATTATTTTTCATTTGAAACTCGAAATAGAGAAAAGGGGGAAAATGTCAGAAAATTCATTTCCTTTCAGGAAAGAAAATAAAGAAATTACAACTTTTGTCAGATGAACACCTTGTCTAAAACAAACTAGAGATTTAATGCAATACAAAATACCACGTGGAGGACCTCCTTGGCTGAGAAAAGCATTCATATTTTATTTCCTTAAATGAATATAACTATCCCCATGTGCATTGGTCTCAGACCAGAAAACTCTCTGGGTACTTTTCCTGACCAATTTGAAGAGAAAATTCAGTTTACTGTTGCTTGTTTTTATACAAATTGAAAGCCAAGTGAGGGCAACAAATTAATCTCTCTTGTATTTTACGTTTCAGAAAAATAAAAAGAGAAAAAACTACCTTTGAATTTACAGAAGAGAAATTTAGACAAACACTTTTAGAATGTTATTATTTTTCTGTGCTCCTTTGTTCAACTGTGCATGGTTTCAAACATCACTGAACTGGCTTTTCATCTTGTAGGAAAACAAGGTAGCATTTTTTCTTAAGGAATTGGCAGTGATATGCTGAAGTGCTCAGTTCTTTCCTTCTGGCAAAAAGAGGCCGGCCTGGGATGGGTGAAAAGGAGCCAGGAGTGACTAGAGGAGAGAAGGCTGCTTAGAACCTGCTATTCAAGGTTGATGGTGACTTTTTACAGGCCGTGTAAAGCAGGAGTGCGGTGGCAGCAACTTATGGGTGTGCCAAAGGAAATGAGTCCATGTGCTAAACCCTGGCATATGCATGGTCGGTTGCCAAGGCATGGCATAGGCCCTTGTGAAGTCCGCCTCAGCAAGTAAATGAACCTGTTCCCATTTATTCCATGAAGATGGTGAGTGGTTGGATGTTTCGATAATGTAAAAATCCCTGGCACAGAAATCTGCCATTTGGCTTACTTTCATTTAGTCATTTTTCAGATTAGAAACACCTGAAGGGAGAGGCTCAGTAGTTAAAATTCACGCCTATTAAGCCGTGCAAGCAGTCGCAGAATGGCAGTCCATTCTAGGGTAAGCAGGCAATGCTCTCTGATTAAATTTAAGTTCTGTGTTAATAAATGAAATGTGTGACACTTCTTTTCTTTGCTGCATAAAAGAGTTTCCACAAAGGCCTAGATGACAGGACACAATGTATGCTTTATTTCAACCCTTTTCTATCTTATTTTCTCTGGTAAACCGTAAACAGCTGCCGGGATTTAGAAAGTGGTTCACATAATTTCAGATGAAATTTCTTAAATTCACAATGAACTCAGTGAAACATTTTACCTCTATTCCTTTTTACTGTTTCCACTATCCAAACCCTCAGCACAAGATCCCTGGTCCTCTACAATTTATCCAAAGTCTTAGGTCGAGAGCCCTTTTACCCTTTACTAGTGAATTCAGTGCTACTGTAGGAGATATGCAGTCTTTCCTTGCCTCTTCACTTAAAAAAACATGCCAAACCTGAATAGATTCCAGGCTAGACGGGAGGGGGTGGGGAGAGATTTTTAGTTCTAACACAGCTATTGACACATGCTTGAAGATAGTATTTAAAAGAAAGCAAGAAAATAATAAACCAAGAGAACAAGAGAGAAATAAAGGAAGAAAGAAAAAAAAAGAGCAGATTTTTCACTTTATGCCTTAGAGGGCAAATTGGTTACAATTTAATTTCTAGGAAGAAAATTTTATAGAATAAAATTGCCTAACATTTCTTCATCACACATATGAGAAATATAAACTAAAAGGACATCTGGAAACGAACATTATTCAGCAATCAGAAAGCAAAAATCCAAACCATTGATGTTTTGATGGAGACAAACATATGAGATTCCCAAAGAAGAAAGCTGTAACTTATTGAAGTTAAAAAAAAAAAAAATTCCATATGCATTTTACCTTTTGGGCAGCTCCATAGCAAAGTTCTGTTTCAGAAGCCCTTTGTAATATGAACCCCACTGTAGATAAGATACAAGGCGAAGATAGTCTGTCTTGCAGCAGCAGGAAATCAAATTGGTTCCAGAAACAAAGTTACATGACAAATGGTTTAATAGTATTGCCAGAATTGGAAATCTTGACTGAATTATTTTTCATAATCATTAAAAAAAGATTTTGAAATAACTCTGCCATGCATAGTTGTTTAGTTTGTGTGTGTGTGTGTGTGGGGGGGGGTGACGTTTTGTTGTAGAGGTGGGAAGACATTTTATTAGCCTTTTAACTAAAATGTTATCATTTGTTATCAAAATTTAAGAGCTCAGTGGTGATGTATTGTTAACTTTTGTTTGCAACAAAACATTTCAAACAGTACATTTTTAACATAACTAATACATGGCATGGAGGACTAAACAGGTTTAAAAGGGGATATATCTTATTATCGTCTTCAAGTTATTTTTTGTTTTAATCCTAGTACCAATCAGCCTTGATTTATTTTAAAGAGCATCTGGAAAAGTTCATCAAGTCTGAGGCGAGTCTTAGACTTTAGGACAGACTTCTAAATGGTTAGTAAGATGTATCACTGAAAAAAATAACCCAGCGACTGATACCCGTAGGTGAAATGAAATCATTCTCCTGACTGAAGTCAGGAACAAGTTAAATACCACTTAGACCACAGCACACGACTACAGAGATTTAGGAGAAAACATACTTAAATAAGATGTGACTAGACATTTAGGACTATTTTCTGAAAAAGTGAAAAAAAAACTTTTTCCCCTGCAGTACTTACAGTCTTTGAAGACTAGAGCCGGGTCTCTGTGAGGCAAGACTTGGGCAATGATGTGTCTCAGGGATTCCAAGGTTCTGTCCATCTTGGGTCTGCCTGTGCGAGCCTGCCGCACAGTGTCCTCATGCCTGGATTCTTGCAGTCCTGGTCTGAATTTGTGCAGCTCATTGATGCGCAGGATTACCAAAGAATCTCTTTTAACATCTGCCAATCAGACATTTCCCAGAATCTAAAGACCCCTCAGGGGGCCCTCCTCCCAGGCTCACTTATCTTTGTTGTATGCTGAGCTAATTAGCTCTAAAGGCTGGCTGACAGGCGGGTTCCCATTGCTTCCTCCTGTTAAACACACCCACCTACAGGCTAGCTGGGGAAGCTCACTAATCATGCGCACAGCCTTCCTCTCCAGCCAGATTTTGCCTGAATGGTGTGCAGCTTTCTGACTTCGATATTTCTTTTGGTCATTCATCTTCTGATGTGCTGTCGTCTGGGACATAGAATCAGGAAGATGATTTCTCAAGGAAGTTTCCTTAGTAGCAAAGGAATTTCCAGCTTAGAATCCGTATAATCTAAACTCTTCTTTGGTAAAGAAGAAGTGCTATAAAGATTGTGATGTCGCCAGGCTCTAGATCATGCTTTCAGTTTGAATTCAGGAGCATCTCTTTGGGAGCCAAGTGTTTAGTTTCTTCATTCACCCAAATTATAGTCACTTTTGATGGCCAGTGGCAAGTAAAATTTCATAGTCTGTCTTTTGGCTTTGCCTGGGAACATTTGTTTCCCTCTATCCTTCGAGGCAAATAATTTCCAAGATTGATTTCAATGAATTCTGATATCATTCACTTCTCTTCATGATAACATTTTATACTAAAAATTGCAGAAGAGGTAAAAATATATGTTTCAAAGAATATAGGTGGTTATGAAAACATCTGAAGAAAACAAAGCTGCTTTTTCTATTGAGGTCCTACACGACTCACAACAATATTAAATAGGCTTTTCACAGGAGACATGTCATAGAATTCCACTGCAGTAATAAGGATTTACACCAAACATAAAAGAACTGATTTCAGTGACTGTAACCTATGTTAGTTGAAGGATTATTGAGGACTTCTTTACTTTTATTTAAAGTATTTTTCCAGGGTAGGCACAAGAGATGGCTTTCCAATTTCAGATTCCATAATTATGTTGTTCAGTTCAGTTCAGTTCAGTCGCTCAGTCGTGTCTGACTCTTTGCGACCCCGTGAATCGCAGCACGACAGGCCTCCCTGTCCATCACCAACTCCCAGAGTTTACCCAAACTCAAGTCCGTCGAGTCAGTGATGCCATCCAGCCATCTCCTCCTCTGTTGTCCCCTTCTCCTGCCCCCAATCCCTCCCAGCATCAGGGTCTTTTCCAATGAATCAACTCTTCGCATGAGGTGGCTAAAGTATTGGAGTTTCAGCTTCAGCATCAGTCCCTCCAATGAACACTCAGGACTGATCTCCTCTAGGATGGACCAGTTGGATTTCCTTGCAGTCCAAGGCACTCTTTAGAGTCTAATCCAACACCACAGTTCAAAAGCATCAA